TTTTTTATTAGTAAATATATAAACATATCTTCTATTAATTATCTTGATTAATTCAGACTAGTTTGATTGGTTTTTTGGCCAAGATAGTGGAAGCAGAATTTATGACTTTAAATCTTCACGCTGGTATTCAAGAACAGGACATAATCAATTTTATGACAAATGCCAAGGCATGCGTGAATAAAGGCGAAGTTTGGTTATTCTTTGATGAAATTAATACTTGTAATCATATTGGATTACTTGCTGATCTTATTGCCCACAGATTAATTAAAGGAATAGAAATACATCCAAAAATTCGACTTTTTGCAGCATGTAATCCTTATCGTATACGTACCAGAAGTATTAGTCAGGTCGGATTAGAAGTTAAGAATAGAATATACAACGAACAAAGTGACCTTGTTTATCAAGTAAAACCAATTCCTGATCAAATTTTAGATTATGTTTGGGATTATGGTGTACTAGAATCAAATGATGAAAAAAAATATATTGAAATTATGGTAAAAAATCAATTAAATACGAAAAAGAAAGATCTTTTTGCCAAACTATTGTTTGAATCTCAAAAATTCATAAGAGAAATCGAAGAACCTTATAGTGTAAGTTTACGAGATGTTAAGCGTGCAATTAAATTGGTAAAATTTTTTGAGGAAAGCCTTAAAGATCGTCCGCCAATTAAAGCAGATGCGCAAAAATATCCAAGAAATATTGGTTCCATCGATATTACAGTTCGATCATATGTATTATCATTGGCACTTTCTTATCAAGCGAGGATTGCGCGGAAGGATTTACGTGAACAATTTAGAAAAAAATTGTGCGAAATCTTCCAATTTATCAGTGAAAAACAATTCATTAATATAATAAGGGAGGAACAAGAAGATTATATCAATAGAATGATCCTCCCTCCAAATACTGCAAAAAATGAGGCACTCTTAGAAAACGTATTAGTCATGATTGTATGCATTTTAACTAAAATACCTGTATTTATTATCGGATCTCCAGGGTTAGTATTGAAATTTTGCTCGCAATTATTATTTTGATTATTTTTATCAATCAATAATAATAATGATAAAAATTTATTGGATTATAAAAGATCTTCGAAGTCTTTGGCTATTCGACTTGTTAGTCAAAGTTTGCGTGGATCAGACTCCAATGATCAATATTTCAGACGATTGCCACAGGTAAATAAATGCATTTATTATATATTCTTCAACGTAGATATCAAGTTAAATAGTTGCTGACTGATTTGTTTATATTTTACAGATATATATAATTCCGCATCAAGGATCATCATCTTCAACATCTGATGGCATTTTAAATGTTTTTGAAAAGGCACAAAATTTTCAGAATACAAGTTCTGAAGAGTTCCCTGTAATTAGTGTAGTGTTACTTGATGAAGGTATAATTTTTGTTATGATTTGTATTCACAGGTTAATTTATTTAACTAAATTATTTATGCTATCACAAATATCATAATCTTCTTTTATATAAGTTGGGTTGGCAGAGACTTCGAGTGAAAACCCATTGAAGGTTTTACATTCACTGCTTGAACCAAGTTATCCTGCAGAATCTCCAACGGTTTCTGTAATAGGTATTTCCAACTGGAGATTAGATAATAGTAAAAGTAGTAGGGCATTATTAGTTCAAAGGTATTTGTTTATGCATCCAAACATTTACTATTTTATGTTGTATGTTTTAAAATCTTTTTATAATAAATTAGGCCCAAGTTTGAACTTAAAGATTTGGTTGATATTTCAACCAGTTTATTGACTGACAAAATCCATAATGTTTCTCAAGAGGCGCTTCAACCACTTGCAGATAGATTTGATGTGACACATATAACATCACAGCATATATTCAATATTTCAGACGATTGCCACAGGTAAATAAATGCATTTATTATATATTCTTCAACGTAGATATCAAGTTAAATAGTTGCTGACTGATTTGTTTATATTTTACAGATATATATAATTCCGCATCAAGGATCATCATCTTCAACATCTGATGGCATTTTAAATGTTTTTGAAAAGGCACAAAATTTTCAGAATACAAGTTCTGAAGAGTTCCCTGTAATTAGTGTAGTGTTACTTGATGAAGGTATAATTTTTGTTATGATTTGTATTCACAGGTTAATTTATTTAACTAAATTATTTATGCTATCACAAATATCATAATCTTCTTTTATATAAGTTGGGTTGGCAGAGACTTCGAGTGAAAACCCATTGAAGGTTTTACATTCACTGCTTGAACCAAGTTATCCTGCAGAATCTCCAACGGTTTCTGTAATAGGTATTTCCAACTGGAGATTAGATAATAGTAAAAGTAGTAGGGCATTATTAGTTCAAAGGTATTTGTTTATGCATCCAAACATTTACTATTTTATGTTGTATGTTTTAAAATCTTTTTATAATAAATTAGGCCCAAGTTTGAACTTAAAGATTTGGTTGATATTTCAACCAGTTTATTGACTGACAAAATCCATAATGTTTCTCAAGAGGCGCTTCAACCACTTGCAGAAGCTTACTCTAAATATGAAAAGGATCAAGAACTTTCAAACTTTCATGGACTTCGTGATTATTATTCGCTAGTTAAAAGCCTTTCATTAAAGGAATTAACACCCGACAACATTCAAATGGCATTAGCTCGCAATTTTGGTGGTACAGAATATAATGATAACATATGTAAAAAGTACTTTAAAGGTATAATTGAAGCATTTAACTCTCACCACAAATGGAATTATAAGCCAATTCCTGTTTCTAAGCTGATAGATGCAAACATTAACGAAGACGGTGCAAGACATCTAATGCTAATAGGAAAAAGTGATTCACTAATAAATATAATCACATATAAACTCAGAGAAAAGAAATTAGACCCTGTTGTGATTCTAGGGTCTCATTTCCCTGAAGACAATCAAGATTATTCATACAGTATTTTAAATAAAATAATGGTATTTTTTAAAAGAGTGTTTATTTCCTCCTTTTCAAATAATGAACGTTTAATGAGAATTTTAATTTTAATCTTAGATGTGTGTAGAAGCAGGAAAACCTTTAATTCTAACTGATTTGGAGATAATTTATGGTATTAGATGCAAAAGTTTGAAATTAACTTTGCTGACAGTAAAAATACATTTTATTTTAATTTTCATGGGGTCTTTTTTTTAAAAATAGGGAGTCTTTATGACCTATGGAACCAAAATTATATTGTCGTTGGAAGTAAAGATGATCCAAAATATTATACTAGAGTTGCATTGGGTGCCTTTTCAAACCCCATGCTTGTTAGTAATAAATTTCTTTTGAAATTATCAATTTTATTATTTATTAATTTTACTAATTTTACTAATTTTACTATTATAATTACTATTATTTTAAAGCATGTTCACAAGGATTTTAGATGTATTCTTATTATGAGTCAAAAAAATTTAGAAGAAGCCGATCCTCCACTTCTTAACCGATTTGAAAAACAAAAAATAACTTTAATTGACATCTTAACTAATGAAAACTTACAATTAGTAAAAGTACTGAAAACTTGGGTGGAAAAAATTTCAAAAATAACTGATACAGTCTACTCAAATGATAAATTCACAGAATGTGATTTATTTATTGGTTACAATGAAGATGAGACGCTACAAAGTTTAGTCATAGATGTAAAGAAAAACAATCCAAATCTAAATGATGATGAAATTCTTGAATTATGTAAAGGATCGTTAATAGCAATTGCAACCTCTGATGGTATTATTCGAGCAGAAAAATCAGGTTTAAGCCAGAAAGAAGTTAATTATTGGAAGAATGTTTATTTGAAATTACAATTTCATGATAATATTGTTGACTACATAAAAAATTATTTATTAGACGCATCTAGTTCCGATGAACAAATTGGAGAATGTATTATAGTTAATACATTTTCAAATATTAATACAGATTTAAAATCTCACCTTCGAGAATTAGTTGACTGTTTTATTTTTAAACTTTCAGAATTCAAAACTGAATCATCCTATCAAAATAGGATAAAAGACTTTTGGTTTAATTCAGAGAGTAAAATACTTATACTACAATGTGATGTTGCAATAGTTGATGAAGGATGTATAAAACTTGCAAAATTTATTATTGAACAATATCAAGCTGAATACTTTTCAAACAAAGATCAAAATAAGATTAAACATGTCTTTATTATTCTTCATATTTATCGTGATTCTAACGCTTCAGTAACTACATTCAATTTCATGTGCGGGTGGAAGCAAGTTACAATAGAAAGCCTTGTTCCACAAGAAAAACCATTATCCATTCTTTTAGATGGAACTATGTGTGAGATTATTAATAATGTTTGTTCGTTTGAAGAAATTCTTAAACAAGAATTATTGTGGTGTTTACTATGTATGAAATACCCGTCAAATTCCAAATCAGTTGAACATATAAGGTGATTATTTTGACAAATTTTTTATTAAATTTTGACAAATTAATTATTAATGCATTTTTATTCAAAAATATATATATAAAAAAGATACCTTAACAGTAACATTCAACAACATCAATATTTTGTAAAATATTTAAAAGATCTTACAATGAAATGGCTAGAAGAAAATTCAACAACTAATTGGCAATATTCTGTAGCATCCAACAAAAAGTTGTTATATCCATATTCATCATTTTCAACTGCTTTACAGTATCATATACATTCAGTGGTACGTGAACCAATTGCAAAAATTTTATGCATGTTTGAGCGTTTAGCAGTAACCAAGACCTTTATTACACAATTTAATGAAGAAAATCAACAATTTCAAGAATTTATTGACGAGATGATTATGAATAAAGACGTTATAAAAATCAATGAGTTAGAAAAGCCAGAACCTGATCGTTATATAATTCCATCAGTTATTTATGATCTTAAATTTCCATTTTCTTATTATTATATGAAACAAATTGATAGTTATAAGAGTCATTATGAGCAAGAAATTAATATATATATGCAAGAGAAAGAGAATATTGATCCTGAAACTGGAATACTATATGAGCATTTACAGATTGATTTTGACAATAACTTTGCCAAAAAATTATTTGAAATTGTTTCGAATGGTCAGGAATCACCTTTAAAGAAGGCTTCAGATTTATATTTTCAAGATTTTATTAGTGTTATTTGTGCTAATGAAGCTAAAACAAAAGAAAGAAACCAAGATATATTAAAACTTGTTTTTAAACGTCTTGTTGAACAAGGAAAAATCTTTAATCCAGTCATATATCATATCATTTGGTGGAGACATTCAAAATCTATTCTTGCTGAATTTCACTTAGCTTCTAATTATAGTAATATAAACTCTAATTTAATTACACAAAGTCATGACCAACCATCTCCAAAATTTAGGCAGTTCATTGTTAAAGAAGTTGCGTATATGATGCTTAAAAATTTTTTAGAAATTAAAGATGTAAACAATAATATTTCAAATTGGCAAACTAAAGTTTTCAATATACTTTCTCTTAGTACACAGATATTAAATTCTTCTTCAGAACCTATGCTATTTATACTTCAAACTTGTCATGACCTACTTTCAACAGAATCAATTATTATTGATGAAATTAAACACATCATTAAGCGTATTTTTAACTCTGATAATGATAATAAAGACATTGATAGAAAAGGTCGGGACGATTTCCTTGAGAAAGCCATGGAAATTTTATATAATTTGGATTACGATGAAAAAACCTTAATAGCATGGCATTCAATTTTTAAAAAATGTCTCGAGATTTTGCCAATAGAGTCGCCTGTTCGAATAAATTTGTATAAAAAGCTATTTTCAGATGTACCTTTTCCATTGATGGGCACAATTATTAAACAAATATTTCAAAGCGAAGAAAATATTAAAAATAATATTTTTTTTGAATTAGTTAATGATCCAAGAAATATTTCTCCAAGATTAGATGTTATTGACAAATGCTTGAAATTCCAACAGCCACACTCAAGAATGTCTGCTTTATGCTCTGATATAATTCAAAAAACATTTTTTTCACAGTATGATTTACATGTTTTATCAATTAATTTTCGTCAAGCAATTGCGGTCTTGCATAGTAATGTTCGTAAAGATATTCAGCTAATATGTGCTATATCTTTACTTAAAGAATTTGTGCATAGGTTTTGGGACACTACTCTACAAGAAGATCCTATGAAACCAATTTATTTCGACTTAATGGAAACAAATAATTTTAACCCAACAACTTTGATAGAAGACATCAATGAATCCATGGGATTGTTACATCCATTGATTCATTCGTTGAAGGTTTATTTCTTACGGAACCTTCGTTTTCGAGAGTTTTCTATGAGTGACATAAAAAAATTTTGTGAGATGCAATACACTTTACCATGGCTTGGTAGTATAACATGGGATAATCAGCAGCAAACCGGATTATCATTTAATCCATTTTGGCCTATTAATGATTATGTAAAATTAGAGAGATATTATTCAACACTGTATAGCTTTAATATGAAATCACCTATTAAAGAATTCTTTGATAATTTAAAACATCATAAAAATGTTTCATCTCGTATAGCTTTGATAGGGATTATTTTTGTTCACTTACATTCGATCAAAGCTGTAAGAGAAAGAACAGATTCTGAAGATCAAATAGTTGAATATTTCCTCGAAAGAATAGGTGAAATGAGTGATAATAACAATTTAAATCTTTATAAAACAACTGTTCGTAAATTGTTGAATGATGAGTTTTCTTTTCTTCGAATCTCAAATCAAACAAATAACAAAGAATTATTGATTAAATCAATGATTTTACATACAATAGCCATACATTCATCAACCTCACAATCTTTTTCGCCTCTTTCATACTATTTACAAAGATTAGAGAATTGCAAAAATGATTTTATCATGACTTGTCCATCAGATATCCAATCAGTCATTATTAATGCGGTGGTTAATACAGGCCAAGCCACTAGGTAAATTGATTTTGATATATTTATATTTCATCTATATTATATTTATATATCTGATTCTATGAATTTGTATAATTTTTTAGATATGAATGTGAATGTGGATTTTCTTACTTGATAGGCGATTGTGGAAGAGCTTACGAAGAAAGTAATTGTCCCCAGTGTAATAATAAAATTGGTGGTTTAGATCATGTATCTGCTCCTGGCAACATAAAAATAGATTCAAATCCTATAACAAGAAGTTTAGAAATCAATAATGAAACTGGATATATAATGGAACCACCAAATAATGATACGGATCACAATGTCAGATTTTTACCACCAAATTCGTATCGCATCTTGCATTTATTTGTTCACATAATAATTGGGGCATTAATTCCTTCATCAGTGGCATCTGACTTTTTATCGAATAATAATAATAATAGTGGAATATTAAATAATACTGAAAGATACTTTATGGATCATATTTTTAACGATTGGGATATTCTTAAAAAACGTCTTGATTGCTCTAATAAAGATTTAGCACTATTTTTACACTCGATACTTCATAAAATGACCACTGATCCATTAAAGTCAACAAAAATTAGAAATGCGAGTGAAAGAGAACAATTGGAAAAAGAATTTCACCTAAAATATTTTGAGCCACAATTTACAAATTTTTATGATACTATAAATAATTTTCGTACTAAATTAAATCAAATTGAAGCTGATTCTAAAGGAATAACATCAAATTTGGTTGAAAGTGAAATAGATGAAACTGTAAAAACAGATGAGACGGATGAGCACTATGAAAAATATTCTAAAGATTATTTACCAAAATTATGGAGGGTAACTGGTGATACTAGTTATGATAATTTAAAGGCTTTTTTTAATAACAGTAATTCAATGAATCAATCACAATATTTATTTTTATCAATTTATTTTAATCATGATGATAAGTTAAAATATATTAAACATCTTGAACCAATTTTAAAATTTGTCAAGATATTAGCAGATCGTCTTGAATATCGTTTGTTAAGAGAGGAAGCTCAAAAAATGACATTCAAAGAATTTATTGATAAAGAAACTAATCATCAAAAATCTGGAGAAAACTATGAATATTTAATGACAAGTTTTAAAGAATTTTCAAAAGCATGGAATTTTATTATCGACAAAGTAAATCAATTTCAATGCCATGAACTTCCAAGCTCAAGACCAAAAATAGATCTTAGTTGTCCAATAATATTTGGATTGGTCGAATCTGAAGATACAGGAATATATATTTGTGCTATCATTGATTATTTGATTGGATTACAAAACAATTTTCTAAAAGAAGTAAATGGAATTCCTATTAAAAACTGTTCATCTCTAAAAATTTTAAAGTTAGGTCCATTAAAACACATGGAATCGATGAAACTTGAAAATATGAAAAGCAACAATTATATTAATTTTGATTGGGATGATGAATTACTTCAATATAGTCAAATAAATTTGAAAGAAGGTCATGGAAAGGATATTATATATGACCTTTTAAAGATCGAAGGTGAACTTGTTAATAAATTAGTAAAGGATAAAGTTATAATAGAAACTTTAAAAGATTCACAATTATACATGGAACAATTTCATTATCATATGGAATTGTTTCAAAAATCTATGAGAATTCTTGAAGATGTTAAAAATCTGATAAAACAAAGTCCGATTCCTAATTCGAAATTTCAACGATATGATATTAATTCATTAACATTTGATAGTGCGTCTGAGATTCTTTCATCCTTAGAAATATTATTGTGTTTTATTAAAAGAACTGCGACCAAAGATGGTAATATGTTAATTAAGGAATTTGTCGAAAATTGGATGAAACTTTCAAGTTTATTAGAAAACAAAACTTTTTCAAAATTATTGAAAAGTGAATTGCGTTTAAGACATGTAATAGCACTGTATGAGTTGATTGAAGAACAAGTATCAATTAAAATGGTTCAATATATTGATAATAAATATAAAGTTCCTATTGATGAAGAGACTAAAGAAATCATTATTAAATTTGTTAAATTTGATCAGTTCAGCATCCAAGAAAAAAAATTACCAGCAGAAGATTTCATTATAGCATTAAGGAGATTTATGTATAGAACCCTATTAGGTGAATTAAATAATGAAAATGAAAATTTAGTGTATTATTTCACAGAAATATCATTAAATTTATGGCCAAATCATATTAAAGAAGAATTGATTTCAGAATTATTTCCTGATGAATTTTTGATGTGTAATATTTATTGTATATATGAATATATTGTAAATGAATTCGAGGTAAGATTGTAATTATTGTTGTTGTTTATCATTTGATATTTATTTAAATATTGTCGTTTATTTAAATTATTGTAGATGTATAATAAGAAACAGCAATACAAGGTATCATTGTCTTCACAAAATCACCATAGCCGCAGTAATCATATGTCTTCATATAAACGAGAATTAGTGGATTGTGAAGAAGATAAAAGTTATGGAGAACCTGGGCCATCATCACAACCAACAAGACCATATAATCATAATAATTATAATAGTAATAATAATCACAATAATAATCCTAATTATGATAATAATATTAACAACAATAATAGGAAAAACAACAACAATAAAAATAGAAGGAATAGAAAGAAAAATGATTTTGATAAAATGTAAACTTGTTAGAATCAACTAATTGAATTCAATAATAAAAATTTGTGTGGTAACCTGATTGATATTTAATATTTATTAGTTAATAAATACTAAATAGGTTAAAATGTTACACCAACGGGACCCAATGGACCAGGACCCCAGGTCGTAACACTAAAAACTTTTTTTTTTACCAAAAATTTTAGGATGCTATTTCACAATAATTTTTGATATTTTTTTTGTATACTTGTATAATAAATCCCAAATTCCAAAGAAATTAAAAGAAAAAAACAAATTTTTTTATATTGGGAAGGTGGAGTTCCTTTTTATTGTTTTTTAAATAATCAAATTTTATTATGTAGATTCTCTAATTCTTATCAGATATACCACTTAAGGGTATTCAAATTATTTCATTGCAGTTGAACATGAAATAGTTTATAATAATAATATATATTATCTTTTTTTTTTGAAAAATAACATCCAAAAATCTCTCGAGTTTTATGTAAAATCAACAAAGATATTCTATTTATTTTATGCTGAAACAGCTCGTTCAAATTGGCTGATTGGTATAAATGCAATTTGATTATGAACTCTCCAAGTGAAAAAAAAGATTTTATAAATAAATATAGAGTACATATAGTATGTAGAATTCTTTTTTATTGTTCAGTTCTGTCTTCATTTGATCGTTTTACACAATAAATTTTATCATCATTAATTGCTAGGCTATAATTACAATCTTTAAAAAGAACTTTTATTTTTTAAAAAAAATAAAATTAATTTTCTTTTTTTGAATATGTTGTTAATTTAATTCAATATATATATACCTGTTATATTATTAATATTTTCAATTGAATCATTGTTTTCTCCCTGTTTATTTATTCGATCATCTTTTTTCATTAATTTTAAATTTTCTTGTTTATCTAATAATAAATTTATATTTTGTAACAAATTATGAGCAGCAATAGCCTGGTTTTGAGTTATGTTTTGAGTTGCCTATAATGTAAGTTAAGGGGGTTTTTTTAATATGACTTTTTAAAATTCAAAACAACATATTTACTTACGTCTATTAGTGAACCATCTTCAAGTTTTGCTGTGAAAGATGCATTTTGATCAGTTAATTGTGAGAGTGAATGATTGCTCTCATTGTTGTTTTGGTTTTGCGTCTAATATAAAAAAAGGGTTGAATATTATTAAAAACATTGGTAACAGAAATGAGACGGGAAATAATTTACCATTTTTTTGTTTTTTTTAATCTGCTTGCGAATGAAGTCACAGGATGCAAGCCGGGAATCTCTCCATTTCATTATTTTTGGGTAATGGTGTTACTTGATCATCTAGAACTTGTATAGTGCGAGACACTTAGTCCCACAACTTTTTATTGGCCTTGTAGATCCTTCTCTAACACCAAAAAAATAAGCCGTAATTTTGAAGCTAAGACAAGTTACGATTTCATTTTGTTGATACGATGCAGATCATCTATAATCATTAATTGCTTTACTAATGAATTTTATTTAGGTAACATCCCTGACTTAATAGTAAAGAGGAGGACAGCTAGAAGGGCACCAATCAAGAAATTGTTATCAGGATAAAGGGAAACATGCCTGTCTTAGACAGAAGGAGGTCTTGTGCTAAGAATGTTATCAGGAAATAGTGTGAAATCTAAAGAAGATATTGTTTAGTATTGCTTAGCAAGGAATTGTTTAACAATAGTGAAAGATAGTTTCAAAAGTAAGTATAAATGTATATTCACAAAAATTGTTGTTATAATTTAGTATAAATGAATTGGAAGAATTGTTTTATTGTATTGACACAGGGATAAAATTAATAAATGAATAATCACTTTTGAACTTAGATCTGACAATATAATAAAAAGAAAAATTTTTTTTTGTTATTTATTATTTATAAATTCGTGTTGCATTATTTAATCCAATTAGTAAAATTCCGTTTTCTTGGTTTTATATGGTTTGCTATTTTCCTTTAAATATCTCGAAACTTTACTAATCAAAGCGGGTATATTTATTAAGCTAAAATTAACCCTTGTAAAAAATTACATATAAGTATGTTATTAACTCAAAATTGAGATTTTGGCAGTTAGGGCTGTTTCTATTTTCCGCACCCCACATATTCTTCAAAACAACGTTACTATATATTGTTACCGGAATTAAATTTTGACGCAGATCTTTTGGTCGAATCTCTTAATTCCGGGACAATTTAAATTTTATTTCTATTTTTATTTTATTTTAATCTACAGTCAAACCTCGTCACAGCGAACCTCGTCACAGCGAATTTCTTGTTACAACGAATTTAAATATTGGCCCCTTTTTTTATTAATTAAAAATATTTGTCATAATGAATTATAGTGCAAGTCACTTAGTCGCTGAACTTTTTGTGCTACACCGCCATTTTTTGAGAAAAAAATTTCCAATCAAAAATGCAATAAAATTTGTATGATCACGTGTTTTTGAAGATTGTCAAATGCAGAATTTTATCCAAATCATATAAACATGTGTATATCGATGATACATCAGTGAATATGGGTATAGGATGGGTCAGAAAGCTCAATAATGAAATTACTCATTCTTTTAATGCATGAATGGGAAACTGGCCATCATCAAATAAAGCAGAAACCATATCAATATTAACAACATTACTTGTAGTTCCTTCAAATAGCAATGTAATCATTTATACAGATAGCAAAACATCAATTGAGTACTTAGAATTCTTCAATAATCCATGTATTTATGTGCCAATAACACATAAATACAAAATTAAAAATTTTACTATTTGGCTCATAATAGAAGAGTTGATTAAAAAAAAGAATATTAATTTGAAGTGTAGGAAAGTTAAAGCACATTCAAACAATATTTTTAATAATGCAGCTGACTTATCTGCTAAACAAGGGCTTGTAAGCCAAACAATAAAATTCGACTTCACTAAAACAAAGACACTTAAAGCTACTCTATATTTTAATGATATTTTAATTGAACAACCAATACGTTCCTTCATCAAATCAATTAATCAAGCTGAAGCTTTTAATAGGTGGTTGCTATTACACAGGCTTGCAAAATATGCAAAGTTAATAAAGGACATTGATTGGGACAGAACATGGAAAAGTTTTGCCTTTTCATCTTACAACAGACAACCAGAGACATCATTCTCAGAAAGCAAAATTAAAGCGTTTAAAATTAAAACTATGAATAATAATTTACCTGTACTAGAAAACTTGAAGATAAGACGACCTGATTTATATGGAAATGAATGGACATGCATTTCCTGTAAACAAGAAAATGAGACACAACAGCACTTATGGTTATGTAGCAATAGTCAAAAAATAATCAAAGAAATAATTAAAAAATGTAAAAGATACATAACAGAAAAAATCAAATCATCGAAACAGTATAACAGCAAAGATCATAATATAAATAATATACTGTCAGACATGTGTTGGGATCCATATTATGATGAACAAAAAATTACCTTCTTAGATTTAATTAATGGAATAATTCCAAAATCATTAACAAATAACATTTATAAAATTATACAGTGTAACAAATCCACAACCAACATCACTAACATAATAATTGAAACAATTATTACAAATATATACAAAGATATTTGGAAACCTAGGTGTGATTTGGTGATTCAAGAAGAAATTAAGGAAAACATCACCAAACAAATGAAAGTAAAGAAAGAGAATAATACAGTAAAGAGGAAAAAAAAGAAAGAAAAAATTAAGAAGAGAAAAGATCTTGATCACAATAACTCCAATAATGAAACATCTCTCTCAACTTTGAGTTGGATAAGTTGGGTAGATTCCTGGATTAAAAAAGGAAGCCAATGGGAAATATACGTATCTTGACAGGATGTTTTACATAGTCAAAGAAATGGGGTGCAATAGCTTAATTCTCTAATTAAAAAAGGAGGCCTCATGAGACTTTGTACGACGTCAATTCGCTCCAAACGAATACTATTTTATGGTAAAACGGGGGGGGGGAGTTGTGCATTGTAAATAATTTAAATTTTTTTATATATATGTATTACATATTTTTAATTTTAAATTAATAAATGTCACAACAAGATTACGTCGTTAAAAAAAAAAAAAACAATGCAGGTAAATTAAATTATTTATATATAATATGATTTAATATCTTTAAACTGAGAAATTTTTATTTTGCAATAGGATGGTGATAAAACAATCATTCAAGATTATCTTGTAAATGTAGATGCTGCAGATGATGTTACTATTTATGTGGGCAAATGTATTGAGGATACGTAAGTTCTTACATGTTATAGGTTATTATATTTAATGCAATCTAAATCCCTTGTTATGATAGTGATGGGTGGATCAGTCGCTTTTCTGGAAACTGTGAATCTGAACGAACTGTAGATATGTTTATTGTTGGACCTTATGCAAAAACTCCTCGTGCTATTTTTTTATAGTAAGGATTTGGACATATTTTTTGCTTGTTTCTTTGAATATTATTAAAAATTTTTTCTGTTCTTTAAGTGGTGAAAATCGATCAGTTGCTGATAGTGAAGACAAAACTGATCGTTCTGGAACTAGTCGTGTTGGCAAAGCATGTGACTTTTTATATTTGGTATGTGTCATTCTGTTCTGGAAAAATCAATAAATTAGTTCTAACACAGATCTTTGTATGTAGAGTTCATTTTATGAACCAGGTATCGGTGAAAATACTGGGCCAACACATAAAGATAATCATGATAAATCAATCTCAAATTTTATTAAAATAATCAAAGTTACGAAATCACAGCACAAAAAAACTTGAAAATTATTTAATAGAACAAAGTGGAAAAAATCCTCTTCCTGAGAGTTTACAGAAAGGAATGATGTCCATATTTATACCATTCTATCAGATTATTGGAATGAAAATTAGATTCTACCTCCTTTTTCAAATAAACGGGGATTTATATGGAATATGGGATTGGGCCTCTGAGATGTTTCCAGAAAAAGATGAAAGTATTAGAGAAGTATGTTTTTTTTTTTTGACTTAAATTTGTATATAAGCCATGATAAATTTAATTATAGTTTATTATTTTCATTCAACAGAATCTTTTGGAGTGGATTGGAAGAATAACAAATATTCTAACCGAAGAAGCCAAGGAATTTAAACATAAATCTCCTGGAGGGATTTCACAGAAATCCATAAAATTAAATCAACCACAATCACCATAGAAAAGGGCGGATCAGCAAGATATAGGTAACTTTCAAAGAGTCAGGGTTTATATAACTATGCAGAACTAAAATTCATAATAATAATGTAATATTAAATGTTATGTATTGTTGTTTATGAAAACATCTTTTAATATGCTGGCATGTAAACGTAGTTTGAAAATAGAATTATTATATGGAGATTCAACCAATAAGATTTATGCCGATCATGAATATTAATGCGAAATTAATAAATTTATTATAGATAAATAATATTACAATTTACACTCTATAACAGATTGTTGGATCGAATAAAAATGTCCGTTATAGAGAGTCCAGTATAGACAGATGGTTATAATTTATATATGAATCATACCAATAATATAAATTCTCAGTCTGAGATCTTTATAGAAAGGCTCTTTTGTTATATCACAGCTAGAATTAAAACCCAATTTTGTCCAAAACCATTATTCTATATATATTTGCAAATATTTGAGGTTGGAATCAACTAAAATAATTAACTAAACAACTAACTTTAGCATAGTAGATCTGATGTAAATATTAACTATTTTTGCATAGACAAATATCTTACATTATGGTAATACAATTTGTGATGTTAAGATTTTAAACAAACAATATTGATCCCTGAAATCTTTGGTAATACCAATGTTCACTTTGTCTGGTTTTGTTGCAGCATGCCCCATATGGCAATATAGTAATAGATCAACATCAGGTTTTTGAGGTTGATCCTTTCCTTCACTACTTGTAAAAAAAAAAGTTTATTGCAATGAATTGGACAATGAAATAAATTAAGCAAATTTTTTAAGAAAGTTGAAAACTATGTATTTTTTACCACCTTGATGATTATGATTTAGTTTTTCTTTTGTTTTATGTTTTAACATCTTTACCACTGTTATTATGATCTTTATTAGTTTTATTAGACTTAAATTTTTTCTTTTTTCATTCTTCAATCAAATCATAAGTACAATTTTTGGCTAGTTCTATTTATCATCATCATCATCATCATCATCATCATTGTATTCTTCAAAAGAGTAAATCAAAAACTTACAAAAGAAAAAAAAGCAAGGTTTTCCATTTGTATCTTTATCTGACATTTAACTAAATAAGGTATTTTCTCATCCTCTTTTTGTTTCACCTAAGAGACATTTTATTCTCAAATCACATATTTAGTTTACTTTTGTTATAACAAGTGTTTGAAGAAAAACTTATTTTAATTGAAAGAAAATAAATTTTTTTTATTGTTGATGATAAACAATTGTGTAATTCTATATTCATGTGACAGCTCATGTGACAGAATTAAAATATATTTATTTTTTCTTGTATTATGTAAAAAAAAGAATAAATTTTGAAAAATGCTAACGGTCAACAATATCAATTCACAAATTGGTAGTAGTGTTATTAATAATTATGCCTGGATCATTAAAGAATTCACAAAAATAGAAAAACTAACACCAAAACCTCAGTATTTTCATAGTCCTCAATGGACTTGTAACATCAGTTTATTTGATGACGACGGATGTTCTTATATACCTTTAAATTGGAGGTTAAAATTTCATCCAAATGGAAATAGTGAAAGTACTCAAAATAATATCAGCTGCTATCTAGAGGCTTTATTTTCTAGTGACGCACAAGCTACTGCACGCGTTAATGTTAACTTCTATATTGGATTTTATATACCATATCAACAAGGAGAATCTCGTATATTAAAATTGGTAAAACGTCGTTGGTACGTTTGAAAAAAAACAAATTTTATTAATAAGATTCAAAAATTTAGTAATAAATAAACTTTATTAATAATTCTGCTAAATTTTTATAAAAATTTTTTCTTTTAAGTGAAAGGCATGAATTTCTAAAAGCAAAACCAGCTTGGGGATGGCCGAATTTTTGTTCGAAAATACTTCTTAACAAAGAAGTGACAGTTAATGCTATTGCAAATTCAGATGATTCAAAGATTTTACTGCCACCAGAACTTCAAAAAAGTGGCCAAGTTCTAGATGATGATACATTGGTTGTTCATGTAGTGATTGTTACACAAACTCCAGTTGGGATAAAGGATGATTTAGAACCCTTTTCCAATTTAACATTGAATTCACAACCAAGTTCAACTACATTTGCAGAAATTTTTAATTCACAAAATTTCAGTGATATTAAATTAATGGTAGACGGGCAAATAGTATACGCGCATCAAGTTATATTGGCACAAAGATCACATTATTTTAAAACTTTAATAAAAAATGATTGGATGCTTGAGATTAAAGAATCCAAACCAATTCATATTCAAGAGGTGAAATATGAAATTTTCTATAACATATTATATTTCATCTATTCAGGTAAATTGTTAGAGGTAAAGGATGAAACAGATCATGCAAAAATTACAAAACTTCAAAAAATCTATATTGATGCAGAAATGCGTAAAACTCTTGAAGTGGACGCATTACATGAACTTATAGAAATCGTCATATCGGAAATGATATCGTTGATCAACATGAAAACTTGGGATAGCTTACTTATATTTTCTTGGGAAAAAGATCTTTTACGATTACGAAAATCAATTTATCGTTTTGCAAAACGTAATTGGAATGAAATTCGTGAAAGTGAATTGTTTAAAAATATTTTGTGTGAAGCAAATGTTGATATTATTGAAGAATTAATTGTCTCGGTTAAAATATGATAATCAAAAAAATCAGCTTATTTTAATTATTAGAAAATTTCATCAATTAAATAAACAAACAATTTTATATTATTTGGACTTTTTATAAGATGATATAAACATGAATAGACAAATCTTTTTTATTTCTTGTATTTTTTTTTTTTTTGTAAAATTATTTAAATTACTCCTTTTCTTCTCTCTCCCCTTCAATAAACAATTAAAAGAAATATATTTTTATTTCACAATTTCATTCATTCATTATACTATCTAAATGTTCGTCATTATCATGTATTCCTAATTCATAAAAAAAATTTTTCCATATTTGTAGAGAAATAAATCGAGACCCAAATTTGACATTTGGGTTAAAAAAATATTTTTGTTTAAAAATTTTGAGTTCATCATTTAATAATTCTTTTCCATATTCGTAGTTATTATTACTACTACTGCCACCACTACCATTATTATTATTGCATAATAAATATTTCCATTGTTGGAGTAAATTTTCTATCAATTTGATATTATATTGTTCACTAGTTCGTTGGCTAGATGTTTCCATATTATCATTAGTTTTAATAATGGCGGTGTTAGTACTATTAGTAGTAGTACTAATATAAAAAGTATCATCATCATCTTTATCGCTATCATATTTTTTAATAATTTTTCTATAATACATCAAAGGTTGAATAGAATGATTGAATGTTCTTTCATCTTCCAAAATCATCATCCTTTGTTGTTCTTCACGTGTGCAATGTATCAATCTTCCATAATAAAATTTAAAGAATGGTTCATGATATTGTGAAATTTTTTCAAGTATCCAAGGATGTAAAATCCAAATCTCTGATTCAATATCTGTCATTTTTGTACCATTTTTTTGATTTTGATTAGAAAAAATACATGTCATAATCCACCTTAGAAAAAGTTGTCTCAACCCTAATAAATTTAAATTATTAACATAGCCATGGTCATCATCACGATAAAATTGGTTATCTTCAAAAGCTAGTATAGTGCTACGAAAAACTATTTCCTGACAAAATAAAAGAGCTATGCTATTATTATAAATTCAGGATTGAAATAATAAAATCATCACAAAATCATCATCATCATTTATTTACCATTCCACCTGATTCTTCTCCAACATAATTATTCAAGTAATTGATAATTTGATTTTCAACTTCTTTTCTTAAATCACAGTGAATATATCCATTATATCCATTACTGGTGCTACTATTATTGTACAATTTTAAACAATTTTTTAACAATATTCTGCCAGCAGTACATCTTTTAATATTAATAGGTGAAAGTTTGAATGAGTAGTCGTATTTTATTGTCCTTGAATCTAAAAGATAGTTATATGTTAAAAATAAAATTTTATCTTTTTTTATATATAATAAAAATTTTCTTCACCAATTAAATTGTTTTTGGTTATTATTCGAATATATTCATTACAAATGGTAGTAGTGGAAATATCTTTTGTTTCTACTAAATTATGATTGATTTTAATGTCATCCAAACATTCTAAAAAAGTATTGGTAATTCCTGCTAAAACATCAATTGTTGCAGACGGTTTAGCACGTGTTAGGATATCCTATAAACATAATAAAAAAAGATTAAAATTAATATATAAATACCTTTTCTTTATTCGAGTATACTACTAAATACATGCCTTTGTTATAATATCCTTTTTTGAAGAAGAATTTCTTTCATTATCATCATTAAACCCATATGTTTTTAACAAGTAAGAATACAAATTATTTGATAATTTAGGATTACTTATCAATGCTTTATACAATAAACAACGAGCATTTCTTAACTCTTCTAAGGATGGCGGTGGTTTTTGTTTTTTAATAATTCTGGTCATTCCATTATCAAGTTGTTGTTGAATCAGATCTGTTTTTTCCCTTGATAATCCAAATAACTTAGTTTCAATCGTACGTGCATATCGAATAACAAAATTTAAATGTTTGGAATCCCAACTGAAAACATCATTTCCATTTGCTGAGGTAAGTAGCTTACTGAATTGTAATATTTCATTTAATAAATTCATATTTAGATTATTAGATGGATTATTAGTAGTGTACACGAATTTTGCCATACACATACATAGATAGCTAGCTATACTAAAAATAGGTTTCATATATAAAAGAAGAAAAGGTTGCCGTGTTACGATGCCCTACTAAATGTCGTAATTTTTGTGTAGATTTTTTATATTTTGTGCCCTTTTTTTCTTATTTTTTGTATGCAGTGTTGTGCAATTGGAACATTGTAACACTATTGGAATGTTCCAATCAGGGACGATGATTTTTTCCTGTGACATAAGGTAAAATATTTTTGTGCTCAAGCCTAAATTTGTGAATTTATGTGATCTCATTTTTGCAAAATTTGTGAAGTTTTGTGGTGCTTTTTTGGTAAATGTGTGAAATTATGTGGCAATATTATGATAAAAATACATTGATAATTTAATATAAACCAAATGTTTATTATGTTATAACAGATAAAGATATATAATAAACATAAAAAAATATAAACATAAAGAAGGAAGGTTAATTAATTTGAATTAAAATGCATCATAGTTAATATTTTTAAAGAATCTTGAGACAAATTTTGCCGATTATTATCCAAGATGGTATTGTAAAAAGAAAAACTCCTTTCAACTGTACAACTGGAAATTGGTAGCCAAATATAATCTAATGCAATGCTAGACAAAATTGGCAATTCATTCACTTTATCTAACCAAAACTTCTCAATCATATTTTCTCCTAAATCTAGTGGAGTTTCCAATCCACAATATATGCCCCATTCATACAAAAGATTATGTGAAGGATTGTTAAATGGTACAATTGTAGAATAAAGTCTAATGTTTCTTCGTTGAATATCTCCCAGATGAATAAAAACAGGATCAAAAACTCTACATGCACAAAATAATTCACGTGCTGGATGATTAGGTATATGTAAAGAAAATTTTAAAAATGCAGCTTCAAATGCAGCACGAAAAATTGGATAAAAATCTCTAGGAACAAAATGAAGACTAAGAATTAATTCATCAAGACCTGAACCAAAATTTTCAGCAGTTCTAAATATGCTGTAAGATGCTGAAGTCTTCTTTCAATATAAGGAAATACTGGTAGATTTTTTTGTTGGAAAAAATCAAGAGTTTGAATAAATTCTTGTGAAAAAATTGAAATGAAATAAACATAAATTGTAATAATGCCTCTTTCATGTTCATTTTGTAAAGTATTATGAATTTCTAATAATGTATTATTAGAATTTTCTTGCAATTCACTTTCAAAAAAATGTGGCCAGTAGTTGATATATTCTTTTGTATATAATACCATTTTAAACCATGAATTCCATCTTGTTGCATTAGGAAGTGGTATTTTACATGGTGATACTATTCCATGATGTTTAAGATGAGTTATATACCGACGTCTTCGTGCAGCTGATTTCACAAAAGCATCTTTAATATTTTGTAAAAACTTTTTTACAATACTAAATTGGGGAAATTTTATCCAAGTTTCACTATATAATAAAAAAATTTATATTTATTGTAATTATTTATTGTAATTATTATAATTAAATAAAAAAATTTACCCAATCAAGTTCATAATATGTGCACAGCATGGTACATGAATTAATTGTCTCATAACAGGATGTAATACCTCACGAAAACTTTTTTTCATATATGCAGCAGAGTCTGACAAAAAAACAATTGGCTTATCAAAAGGTATGTTGTATTTTGCTAAGATGTAAAAAAGTGTCTGGCCAATTGTTGAATTATCGACTTTATCTAAAAAACAACTGAAACAAGCTTGGTGTAATTGTGGTATACAAAAATAGTATTTACTACACTATGAGCACAATCATCTAAACTTTCATCCATAATAATAGAAACTGGTTTAGAATCAAATAGCAATTTAAGAGAAGAAAAATGACTTTCAAAAATATTTGGAAGATATACTTGTCTTAGAGTTGGAGCTTTTGGAATTGCACCTCCTTCTCTTAAATGCTTTTTGAAAAAGGGGAGCAATTTATCAACCTTTTGAAGTGGTATATCAGCACCAACAAATGCTTCAATTAAATCTTCTATTACAATTTTTTTGGAATCTGCTGCTCTAAATGTAGTTTGAAGGGTTTGTTGGTGAGATACTTGTTGTTTAGCTTAGTATTTTCTTTTATTTGATTCATGCTTAATACTATTGACATGACTGTCTATTGTTGATTTGTGTTTCCAGTCAATAGATTTGTCACAATAAATACAAAACATTATTCCAGAATCATTTCTAAAAACTTCAGGATATTCTCTGATTCGAGAATGAATTGACACCACTGAATTTTTAAGACGTTGTCAAGTCATTATTTGTTAAAGTAATAAAAATATTCTCACACAATATATAGTTATAACAATTAAAACATCAAAATATGCAAACAAATATGTAAATACTATTCAAAATAAGGTATAGTATGCAACTTTAATTAAATTCTGTGATGTAACCTATTTTTTGTGAATTTTTGTGGTGATGTAACATGATTTCTTCTTATATCACAGAAATCGCAGAAATCTGTGAAATTATGTGAAACACAAAAAATCATCGTCCCTGTCAAGAAGTCATAAATAGATTGCTTACAAATGCTAAAAATGAAATAAAAAATTAGTAGATTGTTTATACAATAACAAATATATTTTTAATAAAATTATTTATATGTTTAATTCTGCAATTTAACATTTTACATATATACATATATATATATATATATAGCTATAAAGAAATACCTCCATAATAAAACTCCACAGGTATTGACATATTAGAGATGCCACATGTTTAAACAACAATCTATGTTTAAGTAAATTCTACAATTTAATATTTTAGATATATACATATATATATATATAGCTATAAATAAATACCTCTATAATAAAACTCCACAGGTATTGACATATTAGAGATGCCACATGTTTAACAACAATCTATGTTTAAGTAAATTCTACAATTTAATATTTTACATATATACATGTATATATATATATATAGCTATAAAGAAATACCTTTATAATAAAACTCCACAGGTATTGACGTATTAGAGATGCCACATGTTTAAACAACAATCTATGCTTGATTTTACATCTAATGGTAGTGTCTCATCTGTGATTGTATTGGGAAAAAGTTGTTTTTTAATAAAGTGAAGTTACTATTTAAAATTCCTTCGCTTCTAGTAAAAATTTGTGAAAATTATTTCATTAGAGATGCCACAAGTAGAAACTATACATTTTTTTTAATCTCACATATAATTACGAAGTTTATTTGAAAATTATTATCTAAACAATTTTTTTGTTAATTGAAAACATGATTTTACATATACAATCTACTTTAAAATTATATAGTTGCACAACATAATTTCAAGATTGTCACAAAGTGATAAATGTGATAAATCGAACTTCCATCATGCTGAAAATGAGACTGTCATTCAATATCCAATTGGTCTGATTGTACCGAATCATAATAAGTTTTTAGTTCAACTAACCCAACTTTTAATGCACCAAACATGACAAAAATATTTATAAGATTATCATGACAGCATAGGATAGGTACCAAAGGTATCATGGGAGCATCAGGAAATTTTCCCCGCCACAATATTACATCCATAAATTTTAATATATAAAGTTGTAGTAATATTTGCATAAAATTATGTAATATTTACACTTGATGTAATAATTGCATAATTTTTGCATGCTTATTTGCATAATATTATGGGCCCGCCATAAACTTATGTAAATAGTGTAATAATTATGTAAATCTGTGTCAGAAAAATTTCCTGATGAGTAAGAGGCTCAATTATAATTTCTTCCCCCAAAACAGCACCAGAGATTCCAAGCCATGGCCCAGCAAGATGCAAAAGGAAACAAGGATTAAGATATCTTTCACAGTCTGGCACTATTGAAATATATTTTCCATAAGAGCCACAAACTTGTCTGTGTGGATCACCTCCTCCCATTCCAAGTTCATTAATTGCTTCTAATATCAAAAGAGCACATTGACCCCCTCCAACAGTACAATTATCTGTAATTGAAAATGGATTCATCTCATATCCAAAAAGGTCATGCATCATATCTTGAAAAATTTCTTTTCTTTTATCTTCAATATGATAAACCTTTGCCAAGTGTTCAAGATATTCTATTACTCCACCCTCTCCACTTGTTTTATAATCTCTAATATCAATTTTCTTTGCTGAAAGTTTACTTTTGAAATTTCCAAAGATGTGATGACATATAGATATTGGAATTTTTGAACCATTTGGTTGGTAATTGCACATTGCATCAGGATCATATTCACATGTTTTAGAATAAGTTGATGGTAGTCTCATATTTACTACCTTTGTTTTTGCTTGGATCCATGTATCTTCTCCTATTTTTGAACAGATTATTAAAATACTGTAAAAGAAAACATCAATATAATTTCAAATGGTAAACAAGAAAATTTACCTTCAACTTTATGTTTTATTCCTGGAAGAAACAAGCAATAAGAAAATGAAATTAAGATATGTAAATAATAAATGATGGGAAATTGTTAAATATACTCAAATAATATTTACCTTTATTTTTCTCAACACCTCCTGTAATACCAAATAGAAAGCAGTAAATGGACAGAAACAAAGAGGTATAAATTAGTCAAAGTTGTATACAATATACCAAACAAACAAATAAATAAACAAAATGGAATAATTTTTTTACACAATTTGTTCATTACCTTTCCCTTCTCCACCAAACTCTCTTAACGCCTTTCCCCACTCCTTCACCTGCTCCTTCCAGTCATCCATGTTCTTCTTAATTCCTCCTCCTCCTTCTTTAACTTGACTATTTTATCTTCCCATCTTTTCTCTTGTTTTTCATCCCTGTATTCTCCCTTATCTAACTTCTCCTCCAACTTGTCTGATCTCTTCTGTTTATTCCCTTCTTCAAACTTCTTCAACTCCTCTTCTGCCTTTCTATAATCTTCTCTTGCTTTATTTAATTCACTTTCGATTTTCTCTTACATTGCCATTTTTTTTTTAGAATTAAAAAAATATTTTTTTATTGATTTAGATCATTACAATTAATTGTTTCTATAAATAATAATTTGGACCAATGATAAATTAGTGGGCACATGACTTGCAATTAATATTTGTATTTTCCTCGTTTTCATTATCTTCGTAATCTTCACTCTCCGCCTCTTTCTTCTTTTCCTTTTTGACACATTCCTGAATTGCTTCTATCGTTTTTCTTCTAGGATTGGTTTTCGTTGATAGAAGTTTTTTATTGTGGAAGCAGCAACTCCTTTTCCATCTCCTAGTAATTGGCGAATTTCGATGACCATTTCATTAAATGAAAAATCGGGATTCAGTTCAATCTTTTTGTCAAATAATTGTTTGTAATCCTTCCATAGATGTTCGATTTCATTTGAATGTTTTTTATCACTAGTAAGTTTGTTTATTTTATTTTTGAGTTGACTCTTTCTTGGTTCTATTTTATTGATTATTTGATTGTTTTTAAACCAAAATAAAATTGTTTAATGATGATTATTAGAAGAATTTGTTATTTGAATTTTTTTACCTGAAATTAAGTGAATTGGTAATGTTTTTATAATGTTCCAATAAAAGGCGAGATAATTTACCTTGTTTCAATGTCAATGAGAGAAAAACAAAGACTTATAAAACATATCCTTGAATGTAGTAGAATTTGTTCAAAACTCAAACAATGGTTTTTTTTATTGATAATAATATTGATGTTTTTGGTAGGCTCGTAAAATACACATAATTTTGGAAATTGTATGACCATTTAATAAAGCTCTCGCCAAGTTTCATAAAAAATTTTTTTTTATTTTTCAATGAAAAGATCTGCGTAAAATTTAGCCAATCATTTTTTGGTTTGTTTTTTCTAGAATTGGAAATCTTCCTGACTGTAAATATATAGTAATAGTATTAGTAATAGTAATAGCAATAGCAACAACAATAGTAATAATCCGTAATGTTTCAAAAAAAATAGATATTAATATTTAATATATAAAAAAATTTCATGTAGGCGTAAAACTTTAAAAAATGGTTTTTTAAATTGATCTAAATTTGTAAGTTTCAAATTTATTAAAATTTGGATTTGAATTTGGATTTCTTTTTAAGATCATAATGATTTATTTAAAAATACTTTATTTGTTATTTTATTTATATTATTGTTTTTATTTATTTTTTATATACCAATTAGATTTAAACGACAAAAATATTTTTCGTATATAATCGTTGAATTATTTTTAAAAATCTTTTTTCATAGAAAAATTTTTTTCTTTTTTTTTCGTAAAAATTTTTTAAATTGAAAATAAAAAAAATTTTGTTTTTAGTATATATTATTGTATATTAATAATAATAAATACAAACATACATGCATATAATTATAAGCATATAAATATAGATTTTATAATATAGATTTATTTAATAAGATTCTTGATGAATTTTTATTAAATAATTTTACATAAAATAGATATTTTTTTTTAAATCATTAATCATTAATCATTAATCATAAACGTTGTCATCAACATTGATCAACAACATTAATCGACATTGACATGAACAAAAAAACTAATTTAAGAAGATCAATAAAACGTTCACATATCAACAAAAATAATATATATGGAGAAAATAATATAAACTCAAAAAATTCAATTCGTCGTACACTTTCCACTAAGAGAAAACAACGTCGTGATATTACTGAACATTTAGTTACATTATCCGAGGCTCATTTAATAGTAAAATTATGTATTGAACAAATAACTCTAAGAGGTTTGACTGAACGTTTTATCTTTAAACCAATTAGAATTGGTGATAGTGCTGACGAGATAAGATATTTGATAAATTGTCTATTAAGAGAAAATAAAGATGAAGCTGATGATGAGTTGAAATATCAAAATATACATAATATAGTGGCTGGTATGAGATGTACCTTGAGAAATTGTAAACAAATCATCATTCCTTTTGATTATTATGAAGGTTTTATCAAATTCGAATTAGGTAAACTCCCTTTTTATTACTAATTATCAATATTCTATTAATAATTCATTAATATTTAATTATTAATCATTGCTATTGTTAGAATGGGAATTTGATTCGAAAAAAGGTTTATTCAATCAATTTATATCTTATTTGCCAAAATACACCCAAGGAATAATCATTCTACTATTTGATCTTTTTTCAAAAGTAATTATTTATTCTCATATCAACAAAATGTCTCCAGAACGCTTATTAAAATCAATGGCTCTTTCAATATTAGGCGATAGCACTAAAACTTTTGATAATTTTCATGATGCATATAAAGAATGGTTAAAATGTTCAAATGCTTGCATTCATTTATTCTTGGCTTATCTAAGAGAACAAGGATATAGTACAAATTTACATCCTAAATTATGTGCTTTATTGGAAAACTATGTAGAATATAGAATTAAAACTATCAAGGAAAAAGATTTCATGCACCCATTGATTGATGCCAGTATTACCGATGATGAGAAAAATAAATTTTTATCGAAAAAACAAACTCACATCTTATTTAAAGAACCTGATTCCATCACTCTAAGTCATCAATCAAGTGTTACGAGAAATTACTCAATAAATAAAAACAATTTTGACGAATCTTTTGAAGAAGTACTTCCTGAAATTGTTGAATCTTTAAATACATATAGAAAACATCATGACGATTTACTAAAACATTCAACTGTAGATCAAAAATGGGTTGAACTTTATAACAAAGGAGTAAATTATATGTCTGAAGATGCTTTAAAATTATTTTTTGCCTATGATGAACGTATCATTTCTATCATTACCACCAATCCTAATGAAATTAATAATAATAGTAATAAATTGGCCAATAGTGTATTATTAGATGTTGACAATAATAATAAAATGGAATATTTGGTAGATCATTCATCACATTCAAAACCATCTGAATCATTGCCAACTGATAATCAATCCTATCAACATGAATTGATACCAAACTCTTTCAGTAAAAAAGGGATTAAAGAAGATTTTGATGATAATGTTGATAGTTCTGACAAGCTTAGTTTATCATCAACTTTAGGTAAAAAAACAATCAATCAGTGCACAACCACAACCCCTTCAAATTCAATTGATCATATTGATTACTCTTCTAGATCTTTACCTCAATCTGAACTAAAACTCTCAAATAAAACCACTGTATCATTTTTATGTGTCAAACGTAGACCACAATCAACCACTTCTTCAATATCTTATAAATATGAAAGTGAAGATTGGGAGGATTGGTATGTGATTGATCGTGTGATAAAGTTGCCAATTAATGGTCATTTAATTGTTGAAACTATAGATGATATATTCCCATATATTTGGATAGAAGTGAATATCCATCCTTCAACAGAAAATAGTGATAAAGATTCTATTTTAAATGAAAATTTTGGTGAATGGATTCTTATTGAGCCTAAATCCACTTTAATGGAATATGAAAATAATGATTGGATTTTGATCAAAGAAAAACATAAATTTTTACAAGATCTGGAACAACAACAGCAAGAAATCATGAGAGAAAAACTTTTGAAAAAACAAGAAGAATTAGATAAATCTAGACTGCATGGTCGTAAAACTCATAGTAGAATGAGTTCATTTAGTATACCTTGGGTTTCTAGAAAAAACTCTCTTAAGCATCACAATGATGTTAGCAGCAACAATAGCAGTGTAAGTAACAATAATAGTGTTATAGTAGTTGATGATAATAATAATAGCATTAATATCAACAAAAATAATATAGAGGCAAACATACCTGATTCACAAAAACCAAAATCTCCAAAAAAATCAAATTTTTTCACCAAACAAAGAAATCATGAGAACAAAAAGCCCAAGAAATCTAATAATGATGATGATGATGATGATGCTGTGGTTGTGTCTGAACAAAATAACGAAAATACAACAATTAAACAATTGGAAAAGACAACAAATTCAACTTCAATCTTCAAAAACCAAATTCGTGTAGTGGAAACAAATGACAAAGATAACATTAAAACAAATGAAACAATTTCAGATATTGAAAATATTGAAAAACAACCACAAAAAATACTAAATGAGACTGCAGTACAAATGTATAATAATGACTATAAGAATGATATCAATAACAATATAGATTGCCAAAGTGGGGTGATAGAAGGTGATAATTATTATTATGATGAAATGGAAGGCAGTTATAGTGAATATGATGATGAAAGTGATTATTATAATTATGAAAATGGTTACTATTATTATGATGAGAATGGTTATTATTATGATGAGAATGGTTACTATTATGATGAGAATGGTTACTATTATGATGAGAATGGTTATTATTATGATGAGAATGGTTATTATTATGATGAGAATGGTTATTATTATGATGATTACACTGGTCAATATTATGGGCCAAATCAACCTACAAATTATTATTATCAACAACCTCAACCAACAGCCATGCCACCAGGACAGGGACCAATGATGTATCAACAACCACCAATGATGGTTCCTCAACAGCAGCAGCAAAGACCAATGAGATATCAACAACAAAGACCAATGATGCCACCACAAAGACCATTACAACAACAACAACAACAACAACAACAATCATACTATCCACAAAAAAGGTTTAATAATCCACAATTATCACAACAACAACAAGCTTTAATTCCTATTTCAAAATCACAAGAATTAAAACCAAAGTTAAAATTATTAGAATCATCTGAACAAATTAGACAGAGAGAAGAGCAAGAACAAAATAATAAAGATGGTTCAAATAATAATAGTAATAGCAATAGTGATAATCAACTTCAACCTTTATCAAAAGATTTACAAAATAAAACGCCACAAATGTCACAACAGAATATGATGTTAAAGCCAATAAAAAGACCAATGAAACCATTTGGACCTTCACTCCCACCAAATTTCAGAAGACCAAATACAAAAGATGACAATAATAATGAAAATCAGTCATCTAGTCCAATTATGAAGCCGCCAAGGATTAAAAAATTTTTAACTCCAGAACAAAGACAAAAATTACCAAGAATACCAAGAATACCAAATCCAAACATCTTTTTACATCAATCACAACAGCCACCACATATCTTAAATCCTCCTTATTATACACCACATAGTGGTAAACCAATTCGTATACCACATTCAAATTTCAATCCTAATATGCCATTAAAAGTTAGAAGAAGAATGATGCCTTTACCACCATCATCTATTAACAATAATAAAAATCAACAACAGCAATCACCACTACAAAAAAAAAGACTGCCATTACCATCACATCAAATGAATAGAATAGATAGAAAGGGTAAAGGTAAATTAAATCTTGATAGTGATCCTAATAATAGTGTAAATACAACACTAAATTGAAAAAAGTAAAATTTTTTATTTATATTATTATTATTATTATTATATCTATTATCATCATTAAATATTTGTATTTTTTTATAATAAACTATATATTTTAAAAATTGCAAATCGCCCTTTTGAAAATTAATAAAATGATATTTCCATGTATTTAAGAGCTTTGAATGGTATTCTTTTTTCTTTCCCTGATACTATTATTATTGTCACCGATTAAATTTTGGGAGAGCGTATTTTTAATTGGTGATAACAATTATTTGTTTTGTGTGGATCAGAATGAATAGGTTATCAACGAATTGATTTTGGATTAGCGAATAATTTTGGGTAAAGAAGATAAAAGTTTATCTAAATAAAATATTACTATTTTATTTATTTAGTTTTATTTAGTCGAAACTAATTAACTTGTTATCAAGTTACTTTTACATTAGGTCGAAATCAAGTTCTTTATATACATGTTCTTTACATATTAGCCCGAATTGCGCGAATTCGCTCACTTTGTACTTGGGCGAATCCGCCCGTTCCGGGAGAATCGTCATTAATCTCTACTAAATAAAGTTAAATAAATATGAATGTGTTACGGATCGATTAATAATAATAATAATACGCAAGACGTAACACGAATTCAGATGATAATAAATAATTATACACGTTATTGATAAATAAAAATAAAATAATAAAAATAAAAATAATAAAAATAAAAATAAATAATAGATTAAATAAAATAATAATAAAAATAAAAATAGAAATAAAAATAAAATTTAAATTGTCCCGGAATTAAGAGATTCGACCAAAAGATCTGCGTCAAATCTAATTCCGGTAACACTATCAAGAGAATTAACCAGTCAGGAATTTACAATGAGAGAGAGAGAGAGAGAGCAAATTAGAAAAAAGATAAAGTGATTAGAAAAGAAAACAAATCGAACTCCCTCAGAAGAATCAGAATTAGAGAATTTAAGAAATAAACTTAGAGAATTAGAGAAAATTAATCAAGAACAAAAACCTTTTAATTATCTTCCCTGAATAATTGGCGGAGGTTATAAGTTTTTATTTTTTTAATGAAATAAAATTCTTGATTCATGTCTTATTTATAATAATTTCAACTACATAAACCTCTCTGTCTGCTTTTTTGTTCTTTTGTTCTAATAATCTATTAAAAAAAAAGAATTCTTTTATTCTCCTGTCACTTAATAAAGTGAACAATTCTTTACTTGCCTGTTACAAAATAATTTTTTATCATCTCTCACTAATAATAAATTTAATTTTTTATATTCTTTATCATCTCTTACTAGTAATAAATTTGATTCTTTATACTCTTTATCATCATTTACTAAGTGTAAAATTTAATACTTTATCATCACTTACTACTAATAAATTTAATCCTTTATATCTCTTACTACTAATAAATTTGATTTTTTATACTCTTTATCATCATTAAGGATACTGGCTGCAACTTTTGATGATGGTTTCTACCACCTTTGCATCATATAAAAATGATTGCACAAAAAATTGTATTGCACTTTTTGTCTACAGGATGATATGGCAATTAATTCTCATATTTTTATATAAATAAATGTTATAATTAATCATTCTTTATTTGATATACATTCCCTTAAATATATTTGACAAAAAGAGGCCACTTTTATTGTGATTGAGAAGAGAGAAATCATCAAGAATCCTTGAGTTTTGTTCTTTAGATTTTTCTTTAATAGAATGCATTGTTTGTAATTTTCAAATAAGTAAGAGTTATTACACTCAGAACCAAATAGGTTGTTTTGTCAAGAAATAGCCAATGCAAATCATACCCAGAAATTCCAAAAGATCATAATATATTATAAAGGAAAATTTATTTACTCCAATGTTGCTTTTAAAATATTTAATAAAATTAATTCTTTTTCTGCTTGTGCTTTGTTGATACCTAAAAAGGCAAATTATTGTCATAAACGTGATCAAAATGTCTTACCTGGGGGTGGGGGAGTAAGCGCTATTATTAAAATGATATTAGCTAATATATGTCAGCACCCTAATCAATGAAAAATTTTCAACACCTGATTAACCAGAATGAACAACATGTATGAAGTATGTATATAAAAAAAATCAACTCTATAAATAATGTTTACCATTCATTTACTAATTCAATTCTTCTATTTAATTCAATATTTATATTTGTTTCAGGAATAATCATATCTTCTTGACTTTCTTTGCAATTTTCTTCATAACTTTCTTCTTCAATATCTTCACTTGTTAAAATATCACTACCTTGATTTAATCTTTCAAGGAAAGAAGTAATATTTTTAAATATCCCTTTCTTGTAATATTCTTCACAATGTTTACACCTGTTTTCCAAACTCTGATAACATTTGTGATGATATCCATGTCCACATATTAATACACTCACATTTAAACATCCTAAATTTTGTTTACATTTGTCACATGAACTAGGTGTTGGTGGAGAGGATGTATGATAACCTGTTGGAAGTGACCTCTGATCAACTGTTTTATTTAGGGCTTCCAATTTGTATGTACTGAATTTATTATTTCTTTTGATTCTGTTCTTATTTTTTTCAAGATTTATATAAATCAAATAGAAATTATCCAGTAAAAATATACTGGTTCTATTTGTCAATTCTTCTAAGACTGGCTCTTTATATGGGTATTTATGATAATTTTTAAATGTGTTTATGGTTGTTTGATTGTGAAGATCAAGGAGATATGCATCATTTATCATGGCACTTGCTGAATCTAATGTTGTAATATTGGCTCTTATTTGACTATATATGTATGTTTTCAACATAATAGTCATTGAAGTTTACAAGGTATTTTTTTATAGATTCACTAAACAGATGAGAATTTTCCTTCCAATAAAAATAATCTGATAAAAAAGTCAATGGAGCTTTATTATAATTTTTACATTTCCATCTCAGTGCAAAACTCCAGATACAAATTATTGTCTCCAAATATTCATCAAAAGAACCAGATTTGAATAAAACTGCATATATGTCTAATGTTGAAGGTATTATATTATCTAGAAGGTCTACATCATTCTATATTCAACATCTTTACAATTTGTTGGAAATTTATTTAATATTATATGGGATATTTTTTTCCATCCTCTGTTTAGAAGATCTAACAAAAGGTTTATTCTCCAAGGCTTAGGCTTTTGATCCAAAACCTTATTTGGTCCAAAAATAGAGTGATACATCTTGTTAAAAAACTCCCAATGAATTAATACCACATGTTCCTCAAATTCAATGAAACATGTAAAGGGCCAATTAAAGGTATAAATTTTTAATAATATTGTTAGCATTTTGACTCCTTATCTTAGTTATTGCCTTCCTAATAAATAGCTGACCAGGCCAATCTGCTGAAACAGGTATTATATATTATTTACTAAATATCTAGAAATACTTTATATTTTGCTTATTGATGTTAAAACATTTACATAATCATCTAATGAATGTAGATTGCTCTCTTGGAATTGAACTATTCTTGTTCCTATCATAGATCTATCCTGTTGTAGAAATGAATAGTAAGTGATTCTGTTCTATTGGACTCTAAAAATTGTCATGCACTTGAAGAGATCCATTTTATTTTTCTATCATTGTAACTTTGATCAAGTACCCCTTTAAAATTATGTATTAACTGATAGTTTATTCTGTGTGATTCAATGTTATTAGGATTAAAATAGATATTTCAGGAATTGATCTACATTCAATTTTTTTGACACACAAGTTGCCATATGGATTGCAGTAGATAAAGTGTTTGGTAACCTCCAACCATGTATATTATGAAAATCATCAAGGTTGAAACAGAACAAGTTATTTATCTAAAATTTAAGTACATACTTAATAAGCTTTTTTAAATTTAATGTTACAATTATTATTAAGTTATCTAATCACTTACATTTTCATTGAAGTACTCATTAATTTTTTCTGGGTGACTTTTTGCTAATTGTTTTTTATAATTTTCAATAGTTTTATAGGAAGTTTTTACCCCAATTTTAGACAAAGTATCTATGGCAGTACAACTTGCTCCAGCACCAACAAGATATAGGCCAATATCAAGTTTTATGGAATTAATGAATTTGTTGCGTAAACCTGCTAGCAAGTAACAAAATGTAATGATTGATTTTTTTGCATCTTCTTTGTTTTTCTCCTTTCTTTCTGTTGGAATAATTGCATTGACCATTTCATCAAAAAACCCATCTAATCTGCTATCTTGATTTTTTATCATATCAGAGAATTTCTCAGGGTCCAATTCAACACTACCTTTGAATTTTCTTTGTTGATCATAAAGGACTTTGCTTAAAACTTTGATTTTTGATCCAAAAGTAACTATATAATATAATAATTTAATTGATTAGTCACTTGATTAATTTTTAATTTAAGAAAATAAAAAAGAATTACCATCATTAACATCTTTATCTGTTATATGAACACTAGAATCTTCATGTACATCAGTGTGACATGTTATATTGTCTAGTTGTAATTTTATTTGGTTTATATTATCAACTAATAATGAAAAATCTTCTTTTGATACAATAACATTTTCTTCATCAAAATTAAGTTTAATTTTAGACCAATCTAATTCATCAGTTGACTTGCTAGATGAAGGTTCACCATATAATTTATCTGTCATCACTTGAACATTCTCATTATTTAATGATTCACTAGATTTTCTTTTCTTTTTTTTATCATGTCTATCTGGTTCAACTATTTCCATGTAATGTGTATAACATAATTGATCACCCTCCTTTATAAAGTCATATTGTCTTTCAGAATTTTTATCTCTTATTTTTTCAATAGTATAACTGGTCATTTTATTAAATTTGACAGCAGTATTTTTGCAATCAGATATTATACATGGACCAAGATTTTTTGCTTTTGGCATAGTTGATTTTAATGGGATTTGGTTAATGTTTAATAATTTTTATTTTTTATTTTATTATTTTATTTTCAACATGAGATTTTACAAAACAAAATTTGCAGTGTTTAAATATTTGAAAAAAAAACAATGATTTACAAGTTATAATAAACAAAAGAACCTTTATTTTAACAAAAGAAATAAAGAATATTAACAAAAGAAAATGAATTTGTTGTAATATCAATAAAAGAAAATAAATTCATTGTAATATCTAACCAACAAAAGAAAATGAAATATTAATTAACAAAGAAAATGAATTTGTAATATTATCAACAAAAGAAAATGAAATATTAATTAACAAAAAGAAAATGAATTTGTAATATTATCAACAAAAAGAAAATGAAATATTAATTAACAAAAGAAATGAATTTGTAATATTATCAACAAAAGAAAAACAAGAATTCATTATGACATTAACAAAAAAAAATGAAAGATTACTAACAAAAGTCAACAAATTTGTAGTAATAGCAACAAAAGAAAACGAAATATCAACTAACAAAAAGAAAAACTAAAGAATTCATTGTGATGTTGCATTCGTTGTAATATTAATACTAATATAAAAATATATGTTACATGGAAATCAAATGTAATGTGATAATTGCGAATGTTGATCAAAATAGAATTTCCACTATGCTACGTGTATTTGGTGTCCTATTTACAGTTAACCCCCTAAATGCACCCCCCTTAGGAATGTGCATTTAGGGAATTAAAGCATTTTATTGGCTATTGGTGACTAATGTGACACTAATTAAAATTTTTTAAAAATTCAACATGAATCTATCTATTGTAATTTGTTCCATTGTATTTATTTTTTTTAAGTTAATATATTTTTCAAGAGAATTAACTGATTTTGCTTGTTCATTGTATGGACAATTTCCAAACTTGTTAACTATGGTAGAAATAGGTTGATAAGAATGTTAGTTAAAATGGTTTTTGAAAAAATCAATTTTGGTAAGCAATTTTGGATTTACAATATTCTTTGTATCAATAGACATAAAAAATCTACCCAGCCTTTTAATATTTAATTAAAGAGTCCAAATAATTTCAGATATAATTTTGGCAACTAATAAAATTAACTTCAGCATTTATGAAAACTATTTCACCATTATTAAGAGAGCTAACAATGCTTACACTTGACTCAATTGGGTGACTTTTTGATGCAATTAATTGATTCATATGAAAACATATAAGTAATTGAGTCAAAACATAATTACACAATTAAAAATTGAGTTTTTGGGAATTAAGTCAAAGCCAAATTAATTGACAACATGTAATTTCTAAGGTTACACGATTAACAATGCATAAAATCACGTGAAAGTCACGGACGTGCATTAAGGGAGGGTGGTTTATATAGTTGGAATGAAAAAAGACCGTGCAATGCAGGTATAGAGGGATGCACTTATCTCTTAAGTCCCAAGCTTGGGAATGAGTGAAGGCGTGCATTTAGAGAGCTTGTGCATTTATGGGGGTTGACTGTATAAGCTAAAATTACAACATATTTATCCATTAAAAAATTTTGATATTTATTAAAATATATGTACATATTTTGATTTGCTGATCAAAAAGAATGTATTAATAAATAAATTTCAAGTTTTAAAATGTCCCAATAAAATAAATAGATAAATTGTTCTAATAAATTGTTCTAATAAATTGTTCTAATATAAATGTAAACATAAATATATTTATATATAATCTATAATTTACAAATACATCTTAATTGTTTTTTTTCTTCCCTCATCTATAAATATAATAACTATATTATATTAATAAATATTGATTACCATCATTATTATCATCAACAACATTGTCATCACCAATATCATCAACGTTATCATAAATATTATTTTCAATAATAATATTATTATTATCATATTCAAAATAATCATCATATTCATCGTTTTCATCGTTGTTGTCTTGTAAAGTTTTTAATATTTCCAATTCCTTTTCCAATTTTTTAATTTTAATATTTCTCCAATTTTTACTAATGTTATTATTATTGTTTCCACCACCATCATCATAATCATCATAATCATCATCCAATAGTCTAAAATTTAAAATTTCACCAATTCCCTCTTGCATCAAAGATCTCAACATCTTACCTTCACTTTGTGCCTTAATCAACAATCTTTCCAATTCATCTGATTTCTTTAATGATTTATCTAATAATCTTGACTTATTGGTTAATTCAAGTTTCAAACTCGACATTTCTTTCTCTAACGTCGCCACTTCTTGGCTCGAATCCTTCAATCGTTGCTCTGTATCATCAGCTCTTTTATTAGCTATTACCAATGTTTTTTGTACTTTATCAAATATCATTTGTTGTTCTTTCAACACTTGTTTTAATTGATTTATTTGTAAATTTTGTAATTTAATTGTTCTTAAATTTTGTTGTTGCTGTTCATTATGTTGATCACGATCATGAACATGAACATTTGTATCTTTGTTTTTATGTGCTGATGATACGATGGAAAGAGCAGTTGAAGCAGATGTGTTTTCATATTTTTGTAGTTTTGCTTTATAATACGCTACTTCGTCTAATGCATCTATACGAGACTTTTCACTTTCTGAAATTTTTTGTGATGCTAATTGTGACTGAAGTTTTATATTTGTCTTTTTTTTTTTGCGAAAAAAGATTAATCCGTTAATTCATTCATAATAATTCATAATTATATTAAAAAATAAAAAAATAAAACCAAACCTTGTAGTATTTTAATTGTTGTTTCATCTTTACAATAACATCGACTATTTTATATTTATCTGATCCAACTTCAAGATTATTCATTATTTCTTCAACATTTTGTAAATAATCATTATCACCATCATCAACAACATTAACTATCTTTTTTTCTCCGCTACCATTACCACACGAATTAAATTCTAATTCTTTAGTCGACTTCATAAGATTTTCTCTTTTTTTTGCATCAATTATGTTTTGCTTTTGTTTTTCTAATTCACGGAAAAATTCGTCATTTTCTAAAGTCCTTGATGTTGTCGGTAATGACGATGAAAGTTTGGATATTGTATTTTTTTGTTGTTGTCTATTGTAATTATATTGCTGACGAGATTGTTGGTATTGTTGTTGTTGTTGTTGATTTAGATTATTATAATAAATATTATTATCTGATATTGTCCTAGTGTGACTATTTTGATGTAAAGGTGATGGTGACATAATAGGTGATGATGATATAGAAGGTGATCTTGGTGATTGATTAAATGATGATGTACTACTTCTTCGTAACTTTGAACGTGGCGGAATAGGCTCAGTATTTGCACTTAGTGAAGATGTTATCATATTATTATTAATATTGGTAATAGGAACAGCAGCAATGGCAATGGCAGAAGAAATGGCAGTGGTTGTTGTTGATTTCAGTAGATAATTATCATCATTTTGGATAGACGACGATAAAATTGTTTGCTGTTGTTGTTGAATATGGTGATTATGTATTGGAATTATCGGACTTTCAGGTATAAGGACTTGTTCAGTTTTACTTCCAACTATAATTCCAACATCAACATTATTAACGTTGTTATTATTCATACGAATGGGTATAAAAATTGTTTTTTTATCTAATGGACGAGCACCACGTGGTCGTTGCTGAATATTGTTGTTGTAATTGAGCTTGTCGTTGAGTCTCTTGTTGAATTTGCTGTAATTGAGCCTGTCGTTGAGCCTCTTGTTGAGCCTCTTTTTGAATTTGCTGTAGTTGAGCCTGTCGTTGAGCCTCTTGTTGAATTTTCTGTAGTTGAGCCTGTCGTTGAGCCTCTTGTTGAGCTTGTTGTAATCGAGCTTGCTGTTGAACCTCTTGTTGAGCCTCTTGTTGAATTTGCTGTGATCGAGCCTGTCGTTGTTGAGCCTCTTGTTGAGCCTTATCTTCATCATCATCATCATCTATTTGCTCATCTTCGTCATCATATTGTTCATCTTTTTGCTCATCTTTTTGTTGAGAATCATCATCATCGTCATAATAACTACCGCTACTAATACTACTGCTACAACTGTTATTAATATTATGATCAATATTATATTCCACCACTTTTTGTTTACCTTTAACATCTTTATTAGTTGATGATAATTTGAGGATAGATTCTTGACTAGACAATAATATTGCTTCTTCTAATACAGGAGAAAGTTTTGTTTTTTTTGGATATGGTGAACTAGAAGAACCAGAGATGATTTCTTGTGATAATTGTTGATCTTGATTTTGTTGATGACCTTTATTATTAGTACCATTGCAATTACCATTATTTATTGGTATAGGTTGTGAAGATAAAGATATTGATGATGAAGATTTTGATGATGTTGTTGATAATGTAGAAGCTAATGATGATGTTGATGATGATTTCATTATATTCGATGATGACATTTTTTGAGACTTTGTTGTAATAACAGAAGATGATGAAGAATCTGATGAATTATGTCGTCTACCTGAAGTATTATCTCCGGATGGAAATTTTATTTTTGCTATATTATATTTATAAAGTTAATTAATAAGGCTAACTACTAATAAATAAATAAATAAATAATCTAAAGATATATGTATAACAATATTATCTTACTTGTATCTAATATATGGACTATTCCTTCGTTATCTGGTCTGGGATCTTTTTTTGAATCCCCACCAAAAACTAAAATATTATTTTTAACTTTTGATACAGTTATACCATATCTAGGACACGGAGATGGACTCAGTTTAGGGAACTTGTACCATCTTTTATCTATAAAAAAAAAAAATAACGAACAAATGAATGATTTATTGAGGTTAAAAAAAAAATTTTTTTTGAATTATTTACATATAATCAATTAGTCAACTAACTTGTTATTCTGAACGCAGCCAAATCTCCCAAAACCTCTCCTTCTTCTGATCTTCCACCAAAAATATAAATCACATCGTTCATTATAGTCGCTCCATGACCTTCGCGTGCTTGAGGAGTATATCCTGAACATTCTAGTTCATCCCATTGATTTGTCTTTACATCATAACACCAGATGTCATTATAACATTTAATTTCATCAGTTCCACCGAACCTAAAAATATAGCATTTAATTTATTAAACAAAACTAATTAAATAATTAACGAAATCATAATTAATTAATAATAGTAATCATTGGTTTACATGTAAATTTTCCCATTATATGGGCATGAAACATGTTTCATTCTAGGAGATGGTGCATTTCTAGGAGGAATTAATGAATCCCAAAAAGATTGAGTGAAGTTAGGACCTTTATTAAAAAAAAATTTTAAAAAAACCCCCAAAATTCAAATTAATAATTGATAATTCAAATTTCAAAGTTCAAAATTCAAAAAGAATAAACAAAAAATTTAATTTACTTGCACAACCCCCGAATCGAGAAGAAAATTTAAATTTGCTTTTCTTTTTAGTTAGTAACTTCAATGCTTTCAAATCAAATGTTAAAAAATCATTCAAGTATTCATTGTTTTTATTTTTACCACCAAAAACATATAATGTTGTATCAACTACTGTTGCAGTATGACCAAACCTTCCAATGCTACCATTGCTGCTGCTACTATTAATAGTGGAAACTTCTCCATCAATATTAAAGTTACAAATCATTTGTTTAAGCCAATGTTTTGAAACTGTAAAAAATTGTTTTTATTATTAATCGAAAATAACCATCACAAATAATTTAATTTAAATCAATCGATCAAATTAAATTAATCACCAATATCAAATATATAAATATGTTCATCCAAGTTGTTTTCTTTTGGATCGTCAACAATTCCACCAAACACTAAAACATTAATAATATTAATATTAATGATATTAATAATTCAAATTAATTATTCGAACCTACCTATCATATGTGTTGCAAAACTTATTTGAGAATGTAAGCTTCTTGGTTTAGGAATATCTCCATATGCTAAGATTGGAAGAACATTAAAACCATCTAAAAAATAAATTTTAAATTTAAAAATTAAAAACAATCCAACCAATTAATTAATTGATCAATTAACCGATCAAACATTAATTAAACAATTAAATAATCAAATAATCAAGCAGTAGACCGATCAATTATATAATCAACAACTTACTTGCTTCAACCACATAAACTTCATTGGTTGTTTTTTCTCCTACAATTCCTCCAAATATTATAATTGAGTCATTATGATCAAATTCACTCGCAGAGTGATTGTATCTTGGAAAAGGATTAAAAGTATGCAATTTCTTTTGGGACCAAGGGAAATTAGAGGAATGTTGTTTAGACTGTTGTAGTGAAAAGGATTTGTAATTTGATGAATTCGGCATGCTTTTTGAAAGCATTTTTGAAGTTTTTTTGAAAGGGTTTTTTTAAAAATAAAATTGTATATATTCTATTTTACAAACTATATATAAGTCAGTATTATTTTTTATCTTAATTCAAGTAATCTATATATTAAATATTTATATATATATATATATTTATCTATAAATTTTCTTCATTAAAGGAAGAGGAAAAGAAATTATTTAGTAATAATTTTATTATCTTTTGCATTTATGTTCAAAACCATTGAACCAGCGTTCCAGCGTGGTAAGTTAATAATTAAACAAGTATTTTAAAGATTTTGAAAAAGAACAATGTTAAAATGAATGTTACGTGTGACATTCTTATTCTTTATTTGACAATTTAGTAATAGATGTTAGCTTCAGGGGTAAATGAAATACCCCAGTTATGAATCGGTAACAATTAATAAATACAATAATAATTAAATAAATTAAATTAATACTTTTGACATTAAATTTTATTGGCACAATGATCATATTTTACGTGTAAGGTATATTTTGTACTAATTAAATATTTAAAGATTTACAATATGAATTTTTAGGGGAGAAAATAGCAATAAATGGTTCTTTACAAAATTCAAATCAAAAATCAAATTCTAAGTCATGGTAAAATATAGGATTTTTAAATTTAAAAATATAGTCGAGACTCATTTCAACTAACTCGCATTTAAAATCGCGTTTTCAATGAATTTTTTAAAGAATTCGAAACGAGATTTGCCGAAATAAGGATTTTTATTGTACTAATTTGTTTAATGATTCGAATGATTTAAATAAAAATGATAAGAAAAAGAAAAACACACCATACTAATAATATTAATATGGTTAGAATAATACAAAAAAAAATGCTAATTAATACATTTTTATTTTTATTCAGGAAATAATACAATAATTGTTATTTGGTGAAACAAACCCGTATTCGTAATACAAGGTATTTCAGGGTTCCAAATTTAGTCATCACGAGCGTGATCATTAATATTCTCGACTTTAAATACAAGTGCTTTCTACTTGTACATGTAAAGTTATGCCTTTACGAAAACGTAATGATTGTCTATTGATTGGATGGGTCAAGAATGGGTTCATTTGTACCGTGCGGGACAGTTGGACAACAAGATACTTCCTATAGAATTCGTGATGGGAATATCAATGTTATGACATTTGATGTTCTTGATTACAAGTGACAGACATTTCTCGTAATTATTTATTAATAATGATAACACAAAACAAATGTAAAAGACACTCCACATTTCAGTTTCACTTCACTATAAAACATCACATATTAATATGGGCCGATTTGCGGAATGGACAAATTACAGGGGATATGTAACACAAAAATTTTACTATTACTATGATAACCAATAATAAATAAGCACATAATAATAAATAATAATAAACATGATGACAGAAAATTTTAACCAAGAAAACACTAATCCTAATCTTCAAATTGAAGAAAACTCCACATACCCATTAGTTAATAATATTACATACAAAGAGCGTGTAAATAATCAAACGAAACGTAGTTTCAGTTATGTTATTATAAAAGAAGGTGTTTATCCTGAAAAAGTCCTTACTGGACCAAAAAGCAAAAATTCTGTAATTAGTAGAAAAAAAAGATCAATTCAACAATATAAAATCCCACATAATTATATTGTAGAAACAACATGGGGACGAGCAGCTAATAAACGAACAGTTCGTTGTAAAATTAATTATGTTGATGGAATACCTCAATTTTGTATTGAATATGGTTTTAACTTTCAAAATGTCATTTTCTCAACTAAATCTCCATCTGATGCAGCGCTTAATTATGAGAGAGTATGTATATTTTATAATAATTAGTAACTTATAGAATTACCTAATTAATATTATTTTAGGCTTTAAAACCAGGGACAAAGGCTACTATTTCAGGTCCCCTTGTATTTGGATTACAATTAAACAGTGTGCAAAAGGCACGTGAAGCAAGAAGAAGAGGGCATTTAATTAAACCAGCCAATAATTGTGTCCAATCAACACTTGAAAAACGTGCTAAAAAAATTGCAGAAAGAACACAAGTTAGTTTTAATAATAATGTTAAGGAAATTTATCATGAGTCTGATAAAGTTATGCTGAAAGAAATTGAATTCTCACTTAATGATATGGATTTTCAAGTGAATTATGGTTATGAACAAGAAAAAAAAAATCATCAAATTCAATCTATAGTAAAAGCAGTTGACCAAGGACAGATATCCAGATGTTCTTATCAAAATTTAGCTGCTGCAGAATATAATTTACCACGTTTAGGCTCTGTTTCTGATGAACGCACTGCAATTACTAATTATATGAATCAAATAATTAAAATTTCATTGGTTGACATAAAAAAAATAAATGAACCTGAAGAGTCAATAGAGTCTGAAGAAGAAGATATTGTGGATTTGGAAATTATACAAAAAGTCATTGATACAATGGGAATAGGTATTCGTCGTAGTGCAAAAGACATTTTATGTTATATTATTCCACAGTTGCAGAAACAGCAAATATTAAAATCATCAGATCCAACTATTCATCTACGTGTTTCTGGTGATGGACGGAATGTAGGAAGGAAAATTAAACATGTCATGGTGACATTTATGATCTTAAACCATGAGGATAAACATCATCATGCAGATTATCATTATACTATAGCATTATATCCAGGCACCGAAAAATATGATCTGCTTAAATTTATGTTAAATCCTTTTCTTGATGAGTTACGATCACTCAAAAATGATGGATTAAAAATATCTGGAGTTTTATGGAAATTTGAGTTATATTTTAGTGCAGATTGGAAATTTTTGGCTATTTGTCTTGGATTAAATGGTCCTACTGCTAACTACTTTTGCCCTTGGTGTCTATGTTCGAAACATCAACATGGTGATTTAAACAAAGATTGGCATATTGAAAAAAACATGGAACAAATTGCAACAAGATATAGTGAGGTTAATGGTCACATTTTTCCACCTTTATTTGACATGATTTCAATAGATCATATTGTTTTTGATGAATTACATGTTCTTCTACGAATTACAGATAGACTTTGGGAATTAATGCTTGCAGAAATCCAAGAATGTAATTTATTTAATAGTATAACACGAAAAGTCATTTTAGATGAAATGCTGCAATTGAAAGTACCTTTTCAATTTTGGGAAGAAGAAAAATCTCATGCATGGAAATATACATCTCTTGTGGGGGATGACAAAAAAATTGTTTTGCAATTTTTTAACTTAAAGTTACTTTTTAAACCTTCTCGTGCACAATTAATTCGAAAACTTTGGGATGAATTTTATAAATTGTATTGTGCTATTCGAAATAAAAATACCAATCCAGCAAAGTTAAAGCAACAATCACTTGAATGGTTATCTTTATTTCTCACACCATCACAAGGAAATCCTTCTTTTCCAAAAACATTTATACAAGGATTATATATGCCAAGTCAAGTAACTCCTTATATGCATGCATTAGTTTATCATGGATGGGAACTTTTAGAGAAACATCAAAGGTGGGGATTGAAGGCATTTTCTTGTTCTGCTGTTGAAAAAAAAAATCACAATCAAGTTTCAACTTTTTTTCGCAAAACACTTAAAAATGGAGGTAATTTATCAAAAAGAAAGTCTGCAATACAAGAAATCATAGAATATGAAAATAGAACACTTTATTATACTTATAATACATTACCTGAATCTCCAAAAATCAAAAGAGTCCACATTAAATAAATAAAAAATTTTTCTTAATATATAATAATAATCATATGAGCATAATATATTACATACTGTATCTATTTTTATATAATACATTATTTTAAATGTAATAGAAGGACTCATACACAATCAATAATAAAACAATAAAGGGTTTAAGTTTCAACTTTATTCAATGATTAATTAAAGTTAATATTAATGTTATATTAGACTATAATACAGATTTGTATACTCCATGTATATACAAAAAAAAATTCCCCATTTTATTATTTTTTATTAAATTTACAATTAAACCTTCTACATAAAAGATTGTGAAATATAAAAATGAAAATATATATATCCTGCTACACATATATTTTTATCAACTTCATTTGATATACGTTTTTTCCATTCTATCAAAATTTCACCACGTAAAATTTGTGGCCGCCTAGCTTGTTTTTTAATTAAAGATTGTTGTTGATAAATTAATTGTTCAAGAGGATGTACTTCTTCTGATTGATTATGTGAGGTAGAAGGATTCCATGGAACAGGATCTAAGCACACAACATATGTTTCTTGATTTTGTGAATATACTTTTTTCCCCCATTGATTAGAATTCAAAATTCCACTTATAATCTCATATGCTTTTTCACCCTGAAAAATACACTTATAATTCCCTTTTGTTCTAGAATAATAATGAATATTCCCAGCAAAAATAGAAAAAAAAAGACTCTCAGGACATGGTACAGATACTAATTTCTTTCCCATATACCTAAAATTTAAAACCAATTTTTTGTGTATTTCCATAATCAAGATCTCTTTAAATTCTGCAATAATATTAGTTGGCAATCTATCAAGATCTTGATGTTGATTATATTGTTGTATTATTCTATTGTGTTGCATTAAACCACGTGAGCTTTTAAATTTTTTTCCACAAATAGAACATAAAAAGCAAGTATTTGATGAAGGAGGAGGTATAGAGAGATGCATAATAGTGGAGTGTAAGGAAATATTGACATGCTAACAGGAGAAAATAATAATTATTTAATAAATAAAAAAAATAGTTATTAATATCCAAATAAATTTTTTAATCACCATTTTTTAGAAAGAAAACTCTTTAATATTATTAATATAATTGAAGTTATTGGCTGTTTAGTATTTGGAAAACTATGCAGCTGATGCTTACAATAATAAACTCGCGTTTTAAGTTTTCTAGTATTTGCAGCTGATGCCTATAATAATAAACTCGCGTTTTAAGTTTTCTTTGTTATTCTATGAAAAATATAACTATTTGATAAAGTTATTTAGTAAAATTTTAAATTGTAATTGCGATGTTATTATTTTTTCTTACTATTAGAATCCAATGGGTTTTTCCAAATCCAATGGGTTTTTACTTAGTGTTTTGCTTTTAACAAGGGTAAACTTTAACGACATTGTCCCTGTCAACCAATCAAAGCCAGAGAATTGTGTCGTACGATGACCTTATTTGGTTTCAATTCTGCAAATCGGCCCATATGAAGTATGGTTTTTAATACATCTATTCATCAAAACCTACAAACTGATATAAATACATGTTTGAGTAATTAATAATGTAAATAGATGTCTGAAAACTTTTGCACATCTATAATAATAATAATGGATCTTGTTCCATAACAAACTGAGAATTTAAGCCAAATCTATATGTCATATAAATTATTACTGTTTATAACAGATCTTGTAACTGAGTATTTAAGCTCAATTTATGTGTCTTATATTAATATATAATTATTACAGTCTATAATGTTCTCTCTATAATGGACATTTTTCTTAAGCCAAATAATCTGTTATAGGAGAATGAACTATGCAAACAAACATGAATGCTTTCAGACTGTTACTCCTTCATACTTCTTCTTATTCATTCACTACCATTAATTCACAAGTTTTTACAAGTAACTCACATTATTAACCTTTCATATCATTGATTCCCCAAATACTTATATTAGACTGAGTGCTATTTCTGAATTGTTCACACATTCACTCACTGATTTAAAATAATTAACCAATATGTTGCTGGTTTGTACTTCTACTTTATTTGAAAAAGTCAACGAAAATATAAAAAGGAAATTAATAGTAGTAAAAAATGAGACAGTTAGAAATAAAAAAATAGATAACTTGCTTGTAGTGAAGTTAAAAAGGATGACCAATTTTTTTGTCCTCGCATATTTATTACATCAACACTTAGTAACAATGATATTAGTGGCTGATAAAGATAATTTTTCCAAATAATGTAAACAGCTACTATTCATTTTCTCCCAGACTCTTTCTTTTTTTGTTGATCTAAAATTTTATGCAAATTTTAAAAAGTATAGAAGTTATTTTCTATCCTACCTTTTAAAAAAATATCCTCATTAGTTGATAGAATAGGTCTCTAGTAATGTAAAAAAATTATTTGTTATAGAGTTCTATTCTTTTTTAGTACATGTATTTTACTATTACTATGTTCACAGCACTATGATCATTGTTAAACTTAGGCTAACCTTTGACCGTCATTACTAAATTTGGCAGTAAGGAACCTTTGAAAAATTTAAAAAAAAATTTATTGCAATGTGTCTAGACCGAGCCAACGATATTAATATTTTAATAAAGAATATCTGACTGATATTGTATTAATTAACATTGTTTATATTTATCAAGAATTGAGATGAAAAAAAAGTATTAGATGTTTTACAAAAGTTTTCGGGTGTTACACTAACCAGTTCCTATGGCCGTTCAACGGGTTTCGAACCATGAACGGCTGTTATTATTAATTGGAAATGTGGTTTATAACAATAAAACGCATTTTTGGATCTTGAAAGAAACACAATCATTATGAAATCAATATTTATTGAATGGAAATAATCAATTACATTTTGTAAGTAATATGAGGTTATTTTGATTTGTTAAAAAATACATAGCAATTTTTAAAAATAAATCTTAATTTTATTAATTAAAACAAAACATATCCACCGATTTCTGCAATGTTACACGATTTCAGGCTGATTTTGGGGCACATTTTCGTTGTTTTTGTTTTGTTTTAAGGTACATTTTTGATATGTTACACCATTCTTTATCTAAAAAAAGTAATTTTTATATACTTTTGTTATTATTATGTTTGTTGAGATTCGACAGTGAATTGGATTCAATAGTGAGTGAATTGGATTTTTGTAACCCCTAGATTTATATATATTAATATTTAGTTTTTTAACTTGTAATAATATTTCTAAGATTTAAATATTTTTTTGAATCAATTCCACATTACCAATGCCTTAAATCTATTATTTATATAAAATATAGATGGCATTACAGTTTACAGAATGGTGACATGTTTATGTATTGTTAATATTAATATTAATACTGTAAAGGTAATAATTTATTAGAGTTTTTATTCTTTTTATCTGTTATTATTAGTTTTTATTTTAATTTTTGATATATATATATATATATAAATTATAGTGCAAAATCAAGGCGTGAGGATGATTCTATTAAATAAATCATCAATAAAGCTAAGTATAAAAGATCTTTATAACATTCTTTGCATATTTATCAATTGTTTTGTTGGATGGTGGTATTTTTCGAATTTAAGTAACTAATTACTTGAAAATCAAATTCCAAAGTTAAACATAGGATTTTAAACTACTGTATGTAGTATTAGGAAAATAAATAAATAAAAACCACAATTTAAAATAGGGATTTTAATTTGAGATAAGATGAAAGTATATTCTGTATATACTACAACATTTCTTAAATAATGAATGAATGCAAAACAGACAAAAGAAATTGAACATTGATTATTATTGATTTTTTCTTTGACATTAAAATGATCTTTGTATCAAATTATTATTATTTTAATAAAATTTAAAAATCTAAACAGAAGTGAAATTATAATGGCGCATATTAATATTAATATGTAGATTTAGCAAAAAAAAAGGGGGGCGAAATTAGCTTCTAATTCTATATAGTAACCCCTTAGAAATTTTTATAAATGTGCCCTAAAATGTTGCAAAAATCGGTGGATATGTCATGCTTTTTGTTGCAGTATTAGTATGCCCGCCCATGTGAGAAATTCAGATTCGTGCAGCCAATCGGGGTTTTTTATTTTTATAACATCATCATATTAATATCTACTGTGCCGCCGTTATAGCCAGAATCCTCTCTCTCATATTGATAGAGGTTCTCTATGTAAAGTTATTTCAAAAATAGCATTACTTTTGACCTCAAAACCGAGATTTTCCTCCAAAATTACCTTTATAAATGTTGATGAGTGGTTGAAAAGATGTAAAATATTATAAGCTTTCTTCATATGGGTATAGCTTATGTGCATTGTCAGAGAAATGGCATGAGTTATGCCCCAGACCGTTCTTTTCGTAAAATCAGCCACCACTACACGGTGACTCATCATTTCTGACTTTCGGCAAACCTTACTCTATTGCAGGCGTTTGCTTTACGTTCAACAAAACCATCAGTATATTAATGCGAAAATTTTTTTTTTATTTAGCCCACCTGAGGTATTGGAGAGATTTGGGGTTCGTCACAATTAATTATCAACACACATGACACATATCACAAGATGCAAAAACTGGTTTTCATTATCTTTTAAAACAATAAATACATTTTTATTGTTGAATATATACAAGTCTATAAAGTATATACTTTGCTTAATTGATGGATATATATAAATTATTAATAATAACGAACTCAGTTTTTTTAATTAAATATTATATTAATATTAATATGTAAACAGAAATTCTGATATGTGTAATCAATCAATCGTTTTTTAAAAATATCCATAAAATAAAACTGGGCCATTATATAGTTTTCCAATGAATCACCTCTCGTGTTGATAGAGGCTCTCTATGTGAAGCTATAGTTGTTCAAAATCAGCATTAATTTTCACTTCAAACTAAGATTTTTATCTTTATAATTTGAAGAGAGGTTGAAAAGACGGAAAACATTGTAAGCTATAGCTTTATGTGGATTGTTGTTTACTAATACTAAAGTTTAGAGAAACGGCAAAAAATCAAAGAAATAGTGTGGACACGAGAGATAATTAGTTTCCAAATGCGGTAATCTTTAACACCAAGATTAGAAGATTTCGGAAAAAAACGTTTGAAAAAACGTTTTGCGCGAATACATTTTACATTTTACTTGCAATTTTAAATTTATTATATAATACAGAAATTGGTGTACATTTTTATCGTTATTATTAATTATTATCAATTATGTGGTTGCAAATATTCAAATACGTTCAACTTACCTTGTTTACTAGGTATGTATGTAGGTAAGTAGGTAGACGTTGATATAAATTTGAGTCATTATTAAGATTCTGATCAGTTATCGTCTTTCAATTCCTTCGATTTTATGTTCATAGTATTAATATATAATATAATCTTTTTTATTTGTAATTATTATATTATATTCATTCTAATTCTCTCTGTAGTTGTTAAAAAACTATTAATAAATTATGTTGTGAATTAATAAATATACATGTAAAAATTAAATAATTTTATCATTAAAAATCTAGTATTTTTTTCCAGAGGTTCTTCTTCTCCTTAAGAAACAATAAAGAATTACAAGTGCTATTCCGGCAGCAACAACACAGGCAAGTATAATCGGTACAACAAGATTATTCTTATTGAATGAACCACTCGTATTATTGGCTGAGGTTTCACTTGGTGATGGTGAGGCTTCACTTGGTGATAGTGAGGTTCCTGTTGTCGATGCCTTTGTTGGATCACTATTAGGATTGTTTTTGTTGGCATCATCGATAGTAATAATACCCCACATACCGTTTAAACAATGTTGGGCATAACTATCAAAATAGTAAATCGATCCATTATCTCTAGTAATTTCATAAGTTAATGTTGTATCAGGCACATTTGCAATCAAACTTACTATTAAACGGTAAAGATTTATGATGGAGAAGAAAATATTTTTAGTGAAATGAAATTAGGTTTTTGAAAAAAATCAATAATTAAATAAGCAAACTTACATGGCTTTGTAATTTTCGTTGATTTAACACATTGACCGGGTGCATCGGATTCATCAATTATATGCATACTTTTAAATAGTTTGAATTTAACCTTTCAAAAAAAAATATATATTTTTTTTTAAATTAGAAATTTATTTATAGCAAACTCGACGAACAACAGCTTTTGATAATAATACTTACAGTATCACCTTTTGCGACAGTAACATTTTGTGGGCTAAAAGACAATCCCTTTTCGGCTACACTTATAACAACCTCTGCAGCGTTGACATTATTAATAACGTTAATTAATGATAATAATAATAATAATACGAGAATAGTGGTTGAATATGTACGGGGAGAAGAATAATTGGAAGAAGAAGATAAGGTCGAGGCCATGATTATATAATTAATTTTTATTATTTAGTTATATTGTCAAAATATATGTATGTGTGCGTTGTGTGTGTGTAAGTGTGTAAGTATATGTATATAAATTATAGATGATATTATTGTAATTATGAGGGAGGGAAGAGGGAAGGAAGAGAGAGAGAGAGAGAGAGAATAAAAGAATACCTTTTTGCTTTGTAAGGAACCAAGTATTATTATGAAAAGAGAAGGGAAGGAGGGAAGGAAATAAAGAAGGAGGAAAGGAGGTGAGATAAGGTGAAAAAAGAGAGAGAGAGATAATGTTGTGTAGGTATTAGGAAAAATTAAAAATTGAAAATTGAAAATTAATTGAATTATGAATGTGTATATATATATATATATATATATTTATCTATAGTATATATTTGCGGCACGCATGGAGTTTTGTTTGTATCTTTTTAAATTAATTTTTTCCTTATTAACAAAAAAAGATAATTTATGTGTTACATGTAACGTCACTTATATCTTCAAAATAAAAAAAAAGAAGTTGAATTTTTTTCTCATTTTGAATGCTTTCTCCAAATTATTTTTGGGAATAACAGAAAGTTGGAATAGAAATAGAAATTTAAATTTAGAGATAGAAAATAAAGATAACGAAATTTTACTGTAGGTCGATGAAAATTTCTTTTTATTTTTTTATTTATTTATTTATTTATATATTTAATATACATGGTTTTACAATTAAAATTAATTTAACTTCCTTGATCATCAATTAAATCATCGAATGTAATGGGCGAGTCTTTGTATTATTATCGAGATTTATGTAAGTAATAAATTTATAAAAAATTTTTTTGCATAAATCTTAAAATCATTCGTTAATAAATTATTTTTATACATTGTTATTATTATTATTATTGTTATTAATAATAATTATAATAATATTATTATTATTTGATGCTCCCAATCTTGCCTTATATTCTTAGTCTTATTCTTACATCTTGCCTTAGGTTCTTTATTTTATATAGAAATAAATAAATTGATTAAGCATCTATTTTTAGAAAAATATATCATATATATATTTGCTCTGTGATTATTATGACGGGGAATGGGTTTCTAAACTCTCTACTTCCGCATTTTATTTAATATAATTATAAAATTTTTGTAAATAATTCGAATTTCTCATCCGATATAATTTTTATTTGTTTTGATAAGTTTTACTTAAACCAAGTTCCGATACTTTATTATTACCACCTATTACGATTTAGGATGACGATTTGTTTGTTGGAAATATTCATGGTATTTATTTTATTTATTCCAATTCCAACTCACCAAGTTCAAGCTATCGTCGTTAACGAGATTAAAAAAATTATAGTTAACAAAGAAATCTTTAATCTTGGTTCTTCAAAATTACTTGACGACAATTAGATCGGATCACGCAGTTAGAGTGTATCGCTTCAATGACATTTTGTTTTCTATTGGATCCTTCTTTTCACGAAACCAGGATCGACAAGTACAGTTTTGATGAATTTTAGATTAGTATTAGTCTGCTTTATGGTAATAAATAAATAAATAAATAATTGTTTTATTATTATTTTTACAGCCACACGACGTTAGTAAACTGCAGCCACATGCTTTGTTGTTATTTTACCACCATTAGATATATAAAACTGGGAATTAACAAACCAACAACAACAGCTATATCTTGCCCAAATAAATAAATAAATCGTCATATTAATGATAATTGAATGAATTGGAAATATTCGTTGGATGGAATCCCTTCAATTCACGATATGATCAAATGAATGGACGAATTGGATAACAAGATTTATAGGATATTTTAAATTAAGGTTTTCCCATAATAACACATAAATATAAATGAAACATAAAATAACAAATCGATTTTATTCATAGTAAAACTACTCGCACATATTGAATTCAAACCTTTTATTGATTGGCTAACATCGGATATGTCCGATGTTGATCTCAATATCCGATATAAGAATTAACTTTACAATATTGATTTTAATTATATGTTAATTTTTTAAATTGGTAGTAATTCATTGACCACTTAATTTGGTATAGTTAAACCAGTTTGATGAAAATTCATAATTATTCAACAAAGCTAGACAAAGTGAACATAACCACAAAAAATAACCTCATAGTTCAAAGTGTTAAAATGTCGCCAATGATTCCTGATGCCTTCTATTCCATAATTTCCTAGATGATATATAGGGTTAAAGCTCCGAGCGGATTAATTCGGTTTAACCGATTAGAAAATTTTTTAGGAAAGATATTCCATATTATTTTATTCTTGCAAATTTGGTTAGAGCGTATACCTGAATTTCGTAGTGCCTTCCTTACCCGTGTTACTTCATCATGTTGTACAGTTTCAACGAATCGTAATTAAATTCTTGTTTCTTTTCGTATTGTTTGTATATTATATAACAAGATTACACATCAAATATCATAAAAAAAATTAAAAAGAAAACCTTGTAAATAGTAAGTAGAACCCACCTCAATGTCAAATGTTCAATTGGGTCTGTGTTATCCGTTAGTCCATTGATCATTAACATTTAAAAGCACAGTATTTGATATGTGATGCACGTGACACTAATAATTATACTAATTATGTATGACGAAACTTTTGACTTTAGTAACTAAAGTATTGACTAAAGGTAATTTCTCACCAGGGCCATTTTGACGATTTGACTAAAGTAAAATCCCTTGGCGTAAGTAAAACCACTTGACGTAATTAAAAACACTATGCGTACTTGACCTTACCAACAAACCTTTATCAGATGCCAAAGATAATTTACTCAAAAATTATTTAAAGGTCAAATCTGGCGATGGCAATGACCGGAAACGAAAGATGAAATCTACTACTACTTGTAAGAGAATTAATCGTCGTTGGATTGATCTATGTGTAATCTTTTTACCATCAAAGTTTTCAAAAATACCTTCTGTACATATTCCAATTATGCTAGAGCTACACAAATATGTGACTTTATTTCCCGTTATCTGTTCAGTCGATCCAGAAACTGGTCTAGAGTGTGTAGTGGAAGGAAATCGTAAAAAACTATTGAAATATTTTCTATATAAAAAAATCGGACTCTTTATATGGAATGATGATATTGTGAATGATGAAGATTTAGCCAGTGACGTTTCTACAACACAAGTAATGCTTGACAAAGAGTTCTCAAAATTGGATGATGAATGTGTTTATTATAATATGCAAATCCTAAGATCTCAGGCAATCAAATTAAAACAAAAGTACCAATCAAAAAATGACTCGGCGAATCGTGAGGGTTTCCTTAAAACAAAAGAAAAGTTTATTATTAAAGCAACTGTAGTTATGTTTATAGCTTATTTTACACTTTTTATTTTGACAAGTCTTTCTCAGTTGAACTTTGAATCGGACAACAATAGTATTGAGAACAATGATACTTCTGTTGATAAATTATATGATTTGGTTTTTGGTAAACAATATTTTGGTCATAATCATAATAATAATCATGTTTCTTATAGAGGATCTTCAGAATATGTTGAAGTTTGGCAAATGTCAAATAATAGATTTTTATTTGATATTATAAATGCAAATTATGCTAATTACGAAGGATTTGAGGTTATTTTGCATTATGGTAATGAGACATCGATCAAGAAAAATGTCTATATGATTGATGAGAATCAATATTACTTCGACCTTGATTATAAGGAAATTGTTGGGATTAATGAAGATTTATTGATTGAAATCATCGATAAAAATGGTACCATCATGAAGGCATTCAGTTATTTTCCAATAAATATAGCTCACGAAGAAGAGAAAGAAGTGTTCACAACCAATGATAATTATGAAGATTATGGCGAATTTTTGAAAAATGAATATTTTGGATTTATTGACAAAGATGGTAGTGACAGTCTTGCTATTGATACAATTTATAAACGAATGAATCAGGTCGTGAATCGAGCAGTTGAGGAATATCACGTAGTGGCGAAACATGTTAAAGAAATTGTTAACAAGATTGCTGAGGTATCTCAAGAAACTTTTAATTATGTTTTTGAAGCAATTTCTCACTGGTTACCAATCATTTATGAAAATGTTAAAAGTTTTGTGGAGGTGGATGAGAAAATAGATGACGATAAAGCAATCATTCATGAAAATGTTGAAAGTTTTATGGAGGAGAAGATAGATGACGATGAAGATGAAGTATGGGCGATTTATTGTGAAGGGTGATTGAAAACTATTTTCTTTTTTTAAAAATATTTAATCATTGTTTTATTTTAATTTTATTATGATAGTAGTTTTTCATCTGTATATACATATATGAAAAATTAATATATTAATATATAAAATAATAAATTAAATTTTATCACAAGTGATCGTCAAATTGCGAATTTCTATGTTGTAGTAAAAAAGCAAGCTTTTAAATAGAGATGCCAAAATTTCAGTTCTGCCAATTAGAGCATGAGATATGGCTGTGCAACAGGGTGTAAAAGTATCTGCCTTTTGAGGTTACATGTAATATGGAAAAGTGTAACAAAGTTATTTTTAAATAGCACTAAAGATGATGGATGACCATGTATTACCACAAGTAGTTCTTAAAGTGGAGGCAAGATTAGCTTTAGATCGGAGTTCATCCGAAGTCCTATCATGTGTGACACATAATAATAATATATATATATAGTAATAATATATATATAGTAATAATAATAGTGATAGTAATAATAGATAGGAAAACTTCATTTAAAATACGTTTTATTATTTTGTTATTTGTATTGCCAAAATTACTAATCTCACGAATTTATTTATGTGATGGTGGTGAAACAAAAATTTTAAAAATCATAATCCGCTGCAGCAACTATTAAAATGTATATTAATATGTTATTGTCATCACATTAATAACTATTCTATTAATATATTAGAATTCAACAATTTTATTAGCATTAATAAATAAAGTTTGTTGTTTGAAAGTAAAAAATTCTTTGTCATCTGGTACACCCCAGTTGGAATTTTTTTATCCCTGAAATTTCTTAATTTTGATGATCATAATAAGACTTGCATTATCAAAATTAAATCATATATTAATATTAATATATATTTTTTTGATAATAATTATTGCCAGTAAAATTTCAATCTTTTATATTTCTCCAAAATGAATTCTAACAAAACAGAATCTTCTAGCTCAAGACAAGAAGAATTGGACAGCAATTATGAAATCATTAATCATTTCCAAGGTAATTACAAAGATCCTAATAATAGTAGTACTGAATACTTGCCAATTAGTAAGTAGAAACTCCCTTTGGCTTCATATATATATATATATATATATATATATATATTCATTTATTACATTTGTTTTTTTATTTGTTTGTGATTTATTTTTTTAATAAAAAG